ATGTAGGTGACAATTTCAAAGTTTTAATGATAGTGTAATTGAAGTGTACTTTTGTTACATTTTAACTGAAATTAGATATCTATGAAAAATTACGTTTTATTTGCTAATTTAATTTATATTAAAATTAAATCTGTTTAACCATTTACTTCCACAAAACAAAATGAAAAAAATAAATCATCAAATTACCTTTGTGGTCATTTTGACAGCTGACAGAAAATTTTCAACACATGATTCTTAACCATAAATGTCCCTAAAATTCAAATTTTCAATAAAAACGGGGGTTTCTATTTAAAAATTAAAAATAAATTGAGTTTTTCTGTTATTTCCGATAAAACAGAAATAAGCCATAAAGTCACAAACCAATTGAATCCAGTATATGAGAGTATTTGTCCCAAGCTTTTAAACAAATAAGTTTTCATTCCAATATCTCAATTAACATCGAAGATAAAAGCGGATGGAATTATTAAACGGTTTGCTAGTAATAAAAATATTTAGATACGCTACTGGTATACGATAAATGGGTGGCAATGTGAATTTTGAAGCCTAAAAAGATTTTATAAAGTTCGTACATTCCTATATGTTTCTCCATAAACGAATTAATATGGCGGCCATTTTGACAGCTGACAGAAAATTGTCAGTACACGATTATTATACAAAAATGTCCCAAAAATTTAAATTTATAATAAAAAAGAGGGTTTCCTTTTAAAATTAAACAAAAATTCGATTTTCTGTTATTTCCGGAAATACCGGAAGTAAGCCATGACGTCACAGAACAATTGAATCATAAGAAAGTATTTGTTCTAGCCTTTCAAACAGAAGAAAATTATTCCGATATCTCACTGAATAGCGAAGATAAGGGGGAGTGAAACTTCAGTAGTAACTCTAACAATGTCACTGACCTATTTGACAGAACTGATAAGTTGTCATAACAAGTCTCTAATAAATAAAAAACCCCAACAAAAAAGACAAAAACTAATATAAAGAAAATACAAGAAACTTAAAACACATTTTTAAAAAACAAACAGAAGGTGTGATATAAAAGAAAAATATGAACAAGAAGACACTGCCATACATAATAATATAAAAAATAAAAATTTATAAAAAAACAAAAACATAAAAAAACTCACTCAAACACGAGATGAACACAAAAAAAACACTAGGAAAACGCAAATTTTAAATTTCTTTTTTCTCTACTAAAAACATCGATAACAGAAATTAATTTATTTGTCAGTCAGCCTATTTTCATTCATTATTCGCTCCGTGTGTGACAGCAGCGCCAACTATTTTATGAACTAACGGACGATATATGTATATACTGACAATACAATTTCTAATAGAGTTCGTAATAGAAAAATATATGTTAATTTTAATAAAAGTATATGGATAAAAGAAGTAAAAAAATTATTATTATATATTTTTATTATTTCAGCTAAAAAAAGTAGTATAATCAATAAAAATCAATAATAAAATATAGGCAGATATTTGCGAGAAAATGTATGAGATCTTGCCTAAGCCTAATAAGTTGTCATTGAAGAATAGGTTAAATAATGTCAAAATAAAAACATTACCGTTATATATAATAACGTAGAATTAAAATGTATTAACAAAAATAATTATTGGTATATTTATGATTGTAATTTATATTTTCTTCATTTTTAGTTCGAAAAAACCCATAAAAATTAATGATTAAAACTGGTTTCCTATTAATAAGTCGCATGACTGCATTTCAGCCATATACAATAATCAAAGGCAGAAATCTAATCATTTGCTAAACATTTAAGATTTAAGGGATGTTGAAGAATATCATAAAATAATAATTTATTTTTTATTTAAAACCTTTTATGATGTCTATTATTTCCAGTATTACTGTTATTATTACAAAAATAGGTTTTTTTTCTTATTATACAGCTGTCCATTTATTTTCGAAAAGAATCGAAAAGAATCGAAAAGAATCGAAAAGAATCGAAAAGAATCGAAAAGAATCGAAAAGAATCGAAAAGAATCGAAAAGAATCGAAAAGAATCGAAAAGAATCGAAAAGAATCGAAAAGAATCGAAAAGAATCGAAAAGAATCGAAAAGAATCGAAAAGAATCGAAAAGAATCGAAAAGAATCGAAAAGAATCGAAAAGAATCGAAAAGAATCGAAAAGAATCGAAAAGAATCGAAAAGAATCGAAAAGAATCGAAAAGAATCGAAAAGAATCGAAAAGAATCGAAAAGAATCGAAAAGAATCGAAAAGAATCGAAAAGAATCGAAAAGAATCGAAAAGAATCGAAAAGAATCGAAAAGAATCGAAAAGAATCGAAAAGAATCGAAAAGAATCGAAAAGAATCGAAAAGAATCGAAAAGAATCGAAAAGAATCGAAAAGAATCGAAAAGAATCGAAAAGAATCGAAAAGAATCGAAAAGAATCGAAAAGAATCGGAAAGAATCGAAAAGAATCGAAAAGAATCGAAAAGAATCGAAAAGAATCGAAAAGAATCGAAAAGAATCGAAAAGAATCGAAAAGAATCGAAAAGAATCGAAAAGAATCGAAAAGAATCGAAAAGAATCGAAAAGAATCGAAAAGAATCGAAAAGAATCGAAAAGAATCGAAAAGAATCGAAAAGAATCGAAAAGAATCAAAAAGAATCGAAAAGAATCGAAAAGAATCGAAAAGAATCGAAAAGAATCGAAAAGAAAAGAACCGAAAAGAACCGAAAAGAATCGATAAGAACCGAAAAGAATAAAAAATAATCGAAAAGAATCAAAAATAATCGAAAACAATTGAAAAGAATCGAAAAGAATCGAATTGAAAAGAATCGAAAATACTCAAAACTAATCGATTATTCGAAAATAATCGATAAATCACAAAGAATCGATTATTTTTAAAAAATCTACTAGTCGAAAATAACTGATTATTTATTTTGATGATCACCCGGTACTAACGTTTTTAGCAATTCAATTTTGGCAACAAAATTATTTGAACTGGAAGTTTTATTTCAGTAATTGGATTTTTTTATTAATTTATAGAAATCTACCAAAAGAAAATTTTCCACTATACTGTGTTTTTAAACTAGGAGGAGCGAATTAAAAAGACCCATTTACACAGGGAGAAGTAACTAGATTTGTTACTAAGAGCTTGTTCCGAAATAAAGTCGTGTTCAAAATTTATGTAATAGTTGTTATTATCGGCCTTAGTCGGCGAACAGCCAATCAGGGATTAAGGAACAAATAAATGTCAAAGGAGTCGATTTTTTATTGGTTCCAGACAACGGTGGTAAATTTCTTATTATTGTGATCTGAAAAGTACATCTAAAACGAATTGTCACTGTCAAATGAAATTTAATATGGTCGTTGATTAATTAGGCATTCCAAACTGGGGGTCGATTCTCGACTTGTAGGAACCTTTTCCTATAGGAATTTGTGACACTTTCCTATATGTAGGAAAATGTCATAAATTTTCGATGTACATAAAAATGTCAAAATCCTACGAGTCGAGAATCGACCCCCTTAATGGCTACCAGTGGGTTATGGATATTGAATATTTATGAAAATGCCGGTTGGTATAAAACATAGAAATATTATCGTTTTACATTTTTAATGATTTATTTGTTATAGGTATAAACTTAAGTAAAAGGTAATCAGTGAATGGCAATTGGATCACAAAATGACTGGAATTTATCCTATGAATAATATGGATATTGTAGCTAATTTGCTGTTAACTCATAGTTAACACGCTACATAACACTGCATATCAACATTATACTATTACTAAATTTTAACTTAATGATATTGTAGTTTCTTTTAACTCAAGTTCTAATTTTTACCCATATTTTTTAATTTAAAGTGAACTATTCATACATACCTATACCTATGTATTAATGTTAAGTGGATATTTTTAAAATATTTATTGTGGAAGTAATGTTAGCTCATTATACTAAATTAAGATTATCCCTATTGTAGTAGATGGTGTTTTAAATGTGAATTAACAATTTTGTAAATGGGTTTATTATCTAATAAATAAAATTTACTTGAATATTTAGTTACTTTTTAATCAGTTTGGTCAGAAATTTATCAAGTTTTAGTTTTAAAAATCAGTAATAAACTTGGTAGTTTTTTCTGGAATACTTCAGAATTCATCTCTTCATGGTAATCTCCCGTCTCTTTGCCTTCAAAACCAATAATGTATTTTCTACAAAATCCTCTTCAGAATCAGCAAAAATAAGTGGTCTTCCCTTTCTTGTAGGGCTTTTCAGGAACTGCTACCCTTAATAGTACTCGGTAGAGAAGGGTCCATAATCGTAGAAATTTAATACAATTGCTTACTGAAGTTTTGAAAAGAACTATTATTTACGAAATAAAGTAAAAAAAAACTAAGTAATAATAATAATGAGATATCAAAACATAAAATGTCAGAACTGTCAACAATATCAATTATTATTAGCTGATGTTAATGCTAAAAAGTGATGTGTGAAACTGACTGCAATCTGACCAATCAGAAAACTACAGAATTGCCAAATTAAACTCAAATCGCTCCTCCTAGTTTAAAAACAGTGTATAAAAGTAGTCAAAATAGCTGAAAACCTACAAAAAAAGTAGAAATTATCAAATGTGGCAACGTTGAATTAAAGACTCCCAGTCAAAGTGATCTTGACCAAGCACAATAACTAATCGGTGGACCAAGCGAAGTTAACTGTCGTGACGTATTCTACGTGCGATGCACAAAAGATCCTAAAAATAGCGTGGTTTCAAGCAGGCACACTTCTGTTTCACGGATCTATTAACCTGTTTTTTTAACATTCATTCTCAGACACCTCTCGCGTTCACTAGACATATTGAATCGACAGACGCGATCGGCCTGAGCGCAGTGGGGTACCAAAAAAAGTAGAGATTAATACGTAAGAAAATAATAAATATATTAAAGTAAATTTATATTAAGTTATATGTGATTTTAAAATAATGTGCTCTTATGAAATTTAACTGGGTGTTCACAGCACAAATGAACCAATGGAAAACCCGCTCCTGGTCAAGATGCAAGGTCCCTATAAGAATATACATACTTAATTGAACAATTTTAGTGCTGGATTTAATCACTCATTTAGAGCCGACTTTTTAGCATGCGTTCTTAAAAATTTCTTAAATAAAGATTGTGAAATGCTTGGCTCAAAAACAAGCCCCAAAATACTTACTTTTTGCTTAAAATGAGCATGAATTTCTCTCTGTAACTGCTATACAGTCTAAAAATCCGCTCACGTTATAGCGGCATTCCGCTAATATTGTCAAAACTGGAAAAGACACAGACACATTTATAAATTTCCTACAGAGGGCGTATCGCTGTTAAACTTTTAGTTTCTGAAGGTATACTTTTATGCAGACAACGTCTGTACCTGTAAATCATAAGTTCACTCTTTGCAATTATTATAAACATATATTATATTTTATAAAAATTTAATATTTTTTGTGTTACATATTAAAAAAGTTTCAACAATGAAAATTATTAAGCACATTGACTATTAGTTTGTAAATAGAAACAAATCTTTTTTATAAAAAAACAATAGCTTTTTATGAAACCAGTTACGAAATGCCTTATTTTATGTAACGAGTGAATATTTGCGGAACGGACAGAGCGAGGTCCCGCAACATGAACAACTTACATACAACGGCATTTCTTAACGTGTTACATACAATATTTTATCTAATTTTGACTAGGTTATTTATAAAAATGTGTTTTGGTAAAAAATTAATGACATCTAGGCAACCAATATTACTACTTTCTTGTATTGTTATGTTATGTAGGAAATGAGGTGACCAAAACAACATTATTGCTAGGTTGTTTTTAACAAAATTCAATTTTTATTATGTATATTATTGATTTTAAAACCAAAAAGGTTTATTTTTATTAATTTTCTATTTGCAACTGGCGACATAATAATGAATTTTTAAAAACCAGTTTCATAATGTTCAACGTTATACATCTAGTTGCGTAAAGTAGATCATCTTGACACTGCGATTACAAAAAATGTTACTTTACATGTAAAATTAGAAAAAGTATAAATGTATAGCACCAGTATAGTTCACTAGTAAGTACAAGAATGTCAACTAGAAGACAGGATGGAAGACAGGGACATATCTTAAAATTAAGACAACTGTCACCTCCTTCCGGAAATACATTTTAAGCAAAGTACTCTTAGATGCTAACATCGTTTAATAGACCTTTTCATCATGTGATGAGCGCAAGTGCAGTCACCATGTTTAAATAGCGGTAATTCAAAAGTTTCGTACGGTTTTGATCGACAATGTTAAAAACGTGGTTGAAGTATCTTGGACGTTTGCTACAAAGGAAAAAAGTGGACTGATTGAGAGGTTAGGTGTATCAATACTTCTTAGCTGTGTAAAAAATTAATGAAAATAAATAATAATTACTCTATTCTAATTAATTATGCCAACCAACTATTTGTACTTGCAAAAACACTTTATTAAACATGAAAGTTAATCACGAGTATAATTAATAAAATAAATTATTTAATATTTTGAAGATCAACATGACATTTTTAATTATATTACTGTGTATACCGAAGTAGTATTTAATATTAAAAAAAAATATTATTTAATACCAGATAAGAATTTTCTTCTGTTGGACCACTTTCTCCATGAAAATGTAGTGAACAGATATAAGTATCTTTAGTAACATCATCAATCCATCTAATATAAAATAATATGTATTACCTTTGAATGATTTATACAGTGTGGCACTTTTACATACTCCATAACAATACCGTTTCTTTGTTCCTTTCCGTACAGACAACATAATTATAATTGATTGCAAAAATCTATTTTTCAATTAAGACATTAAACTTATTATTACTTTCCTTTTTCTTTCTTTTTTTAAATGAATATACTTAAATTAATATGTTAGGAATTGAATCATCCCGTATACACAATTAGATGATAGATGTTACTACGATTTACGAATGCCAAGCAACTAATTCTTGATGTTGTATTGCATGTTCATTTTATAATATACAGTTATTTGCTATACATATTCTATCTTTAATCAGTCCCAGACTTCCAGCAACTCTAGCTGTAACATAATATTTATCGATTATAATTTTTTTACGTGGGTATTTTAATATGTTTGTTTACAAAAACAGTACGAAAAAAATGGCTGATACTGACGGATGCGCACAAAAAAATTTGTGATGAAAAGGTCTATTCAGGACAAAGTTGACAACTGTCACTATTTTTTTCATATCTATATTAGCAAATCTTCTTTGAAATGAAAATAAAATCTAAAACCGTCACATAACATAACATCTTCAATTTCACTTATCAGAGATCACACTAAATTCCTGCATCACAATTATTAATATTAATCGCTGTCTAAAATTCCTTTTTCGTAGGACATTTTATTCTTATAACGGTAAGCATTTAGGGCTATCAGTTTTAATTTGTCCGCCATGTCCGGCCCAGTTTCGTTGACCATCTTGGATAAGAAACTTTCGGAATTTTTCAATAAGTTATGGGGGTGATCGAATTCCATAGCTTGACCGGCATCCATAACTAAAACTCGATCAGAATCCATAATGGTGACGAGTCGATGAGCGACGGTAAGTACGGTGCAGTCTTTGAATCTCTCGCGAATTGTTCTTTGAATCAGGGAGTCCGTCCTGAAAAGATAAAAATCCATTAACATGATATATTACGGTAGTTAATCGGTATTCTCATTTAATACAATATTGAAAATCGCAGTGCCGTCTATAGGTACTTAACTTTGGAACTACTTTAAAACATGTAAATATATTGATAATTGTTACTATTACTATTATTTATCATTTCAGTATTATTTGCACTTTCTCTCCAAGCACTAATGTTCCCAACCATAGGTATTGCTCTTTTCACCCATTGTACTTATTTAGTTAAAATAACAATACATATTGTCAACGTATAGTGTAGGTAGATGATAAACATTTTATTTATTATCATTATTATTATTTAAATTTCAAAACACAGTCTTAAATTCAAACATAATATTTCGGAGACCGCCCCTGTTCAATCCATTAATGTTAAAACCACACATTCAAAAAAATGCGTATTATTTATCCAGTAAATAACTCTTCTCGCTCTACCCACTCATTCAAGAAGTGAATATTACCCATCCCGCAAATATCAATTAGCACAAACTAAATATATTGCATTCGACGCGTGCCAAATAACACGTAGTCCCCAGCACAAACAATCACGCCACGTTCCTTTACGTATTCCAGTTCGTATGTTGCAATATTTTTCTCACTTAGTGAATTTGAAATTATTTAAGATAATTTTATACTACTCGACTGTAGAAAACACTAGCTAGCCGCACCTATAACACACAAGAACTAACGAGAGCAAATCGCCGCTCGCATCACTCCAGTTTCAATCGTTCAACCAAGAAGATGCCACAGTGGCGACTTCTCGTGACTCGTTAAAGACTAAACGCTCGGATCAAACAGCGCATCAAATTTCGTTCTCACAGATTAGTTTTACCCGTCGGCTGACAACAATGCCGCGTCACTCATCTCATCTGGTCATTTTCAAGCTTTCAAGAAGTCAATAGCTTCGGGGTAGCTTCATAATTATACAAGTCGTTACCATTAGTAGTGTATGAAGTGAATTTCCTACAGTATAAAAAGAGTTATTGTATATAGGATAGAATATACAGTGTGCTATTATTCAGTGTTTAAGTTATGGGCAACAAATTTCCATTTCGAGGTTGAAATACATCTCCACCTATACCAGGATAGTCCCTGGTGAAATTTTAATTGCAGAAATTTCTTATGCAAATCAAACAAATACATTATTTCAAACTAACCACTAGTTAACCTAAAACACCATTATATCACATGAAAAACAAAAAATGTACCCATATGTCTAGCACCTTCGCTGGGGTACAGTATTGTGTTCACCTGCGCTGCGGTATCACATTCACTACACCTTCCCATGGGGCGAAGCCTCTAGTTTCGTATAATTTGAGATATAAAAAAATTTAATTATACCAATGTGCTCATATTTTTTTTTGTAAATCATTATTACGCAAAAAACATACCGGACCCATTGACCCCGTACCGCTCTATACGACAAATTTCTTTCGTAAAGCGGTAGGGGGTCAAAGTGTCCCGTATGTTGTTCAGGTGAATGAGATATTTAAAATAACATTTTTGGTATATTATCTGTATCTGAATCTGTGGCGTGTGGAAGGTGGGTTACCCCCACGGCACTTAGGCCTCATTAGGCCCATTGTGCATCCTTCTAAGATGATAGGCACATCCTAGCTCGTGAGCCAGCCTACAGATTTAATGTAGTTGACAACGTTGCCAAGAGGTGCTTCTCTTATATCGGCCGGTGTCAGCCAATACTCGCCGAACACAAATCTTCTAATAAATGAGAGCGTCGAGCAATCTTAAAGGATATGCTCGATGGTCTCATCTTCTTGTTCACACCCTCTGCTGAGTGCGGATTCTGACAGCCCCATGATATGGAGATGCTTCCGTACTTGACCAGTCAGAATTCCTGTGACTAGGCGCATATTCTGTCTAGTCATAGTCAAGTATCTGTTTGCTGCAGTGTTGTTAGGATAACTTAAGAGCTACCTGGCAACTCTGCAGTTTCTTGTTTTATCCTATCTTTCCTTGAATTTCACAAGGGAATGTTCTTTAATTAGGTCTGTCACTACCGATTTTGTCAAGCCAATAGAAGAGCCAGGTCCAAAAAGTATTTGGTTGGCTGCTTTCTGGCTAGTGAATCAGCAAGACGGTTACCTTTCGATGTGGCGTGACCTTTGATCCATCTTAAGGTGACCACATTTTGATGGATACTTCTGCCAAAGCTTTGTGACATTCTAGTACTAACCCTGAATAAATTCGTGGTCTGTTCAGGGTGAGTAGTGTTTGTCTGCTATCTGTATAGATGGGCATGTTCCTTTCAGCGATATTCTTTCTGGTTATTTCTTTTGCAGCCCATTTTATGTTTAGGTCTTAGAATCTGGAGTGTATTCCACATCCTGAGCCTTGTTTTGTTTTAGAACCGTCGGTGTAGATATGAATCGTAACTGCCACTTCTGGCGCTTCTATTTGTTCTACTATAACTTTGTATGGCTTATGGAAGATATATCTCGGTGTAATGGAGTCCATGTTCGCTTGAAGCAGGTTCTATTCCAACCGTGCGGAGGCATGTGATTGTCGTCAGAGCCACCTCCTTAAATATCAAGGGGAGTGAGACTAAGAATGACTTCCATCGCTCTGGTCGGTGCTGTTTTTATGGCTCCTGTTATGTTGAGACATGCTGTTCTTTGAATGTGTTCTAGTTTACGGATAGCTGTTAATTTTTGGGTTTTAGGTTTCCAGACAACTGCATCGTATGTCAGCTTAGGTCTTATGATAGCCATGTAAGTACATGCGACGACTCTGGGGGAGGAACCCCAGGTGCGCTTCACGGTTCGGCGGTATTGTTCATAAGCAATTTATGCCCTTTTAACCCTGTTTTCTAAATGCGAGTTCCATGTTAACTTGCTGTCAAAGGTGAGACCTAGGTACTTCACCTCTGTTGCAAAGTTTAGTTTTGTTTTTAGGATTTCTGGAGGTTTTAATTCCATTTTGATCCTTTTCCTTGTAAAAAGGACCATTTATGTCTTCTTAGAATTGATAGACAGTGAATGGTCCTTGCACCACTGTTCTATAATTTTTAGAGCTACTTGCATTCTTTTGCTTGGTATATTATAGAAAGTATCGCTATAATAATGCAAAAATGCAGTTTGTGTAAACAAATCCTATTTTTAATGCGAGTAATTTTTATTGTCAAATTTGAATGGCCGTGTGCTTTTCTTCTCTTCTGTTTCTTATTCTTTTTTTCCTCTTTCATATGGTCTGTTACCCGACAAGGACTTACTTGAAGAATCAGTGACGTCCGCCAGGTGGCGCAGAAATCTATCATCGTTTTCTAACATGGGAGTTACCGTTCTAACGATAAGACTTCTGTGTTCTGAAATTCAGTACTAGCAGTACATACATTTTGTATGGAATGTGATGAATGACCTGGTAATTGATTACCGTGTTTTAACGCGGCCCATGTAGCTCAAGCTGGATATACACCTTAATTTGTAGTTTTTTATTTTTAGTAATAAATTATATTTCTCAGATCACAGATTTTTATTTTCATAAATTTCCAAAACGTTAAATGTCTGCGATACGGGACATTGGATCACCGTCCTGCTCACGCAGTACATTTGTTGATCCTTCAAAATAAAGATTATGTTAAAATATATTTATATTTTCAAGTGATATTTCACTAGAGCAAGATTAAAAGCATGAACTATACGGGGCGCATTTGTCCCGTACCGCCCAAAGCGAAGATCAACGACGGGATAGAACTCGTAACGTCACCAACAAAGTTTAAATTATTGGCTTCCGCAGCGAAGATGTTAGAAGTAGTAACATGTGTTCAGCGCGTATCGCTTCTTTTAGGTTCACAATAATATAAGCAATAAATAAGCAGTCTAAAAAAGGATAATAAAAATAGTAAAAGAATGGAGTAAAATTTAAGAGACCCAAATTATAACTAGACAAAAATCAACTAAATCAATAAATTGGTTCAAAAATAAAACCGAATAAACTACTAGTAAATGTACGCTAATAAGAAACGAAAAACAAATAGAATGGTGGAATGGAAGAGAAGACGGTCCCTTTCAAAAGAAGATATATTACAGATGATCTTTGAACGTAGAGTTTATCGCAACAAATTAAAATCCTGGATCACTGGGGAACTACTAGAAATGATAAAACATCAACGCAATCTATAGAGAAGTTATAAAAACACACAAGGTAACGATGATTTCATTTGCCACAGAAGATTTTCCAACCAACTCAAGCGACATCTGTCTTCTACGAGACAATCTTACTAAGAATCAATCGCTAACAGTGACTATACTAAAAAAATTTTTAAATACATCCGTTCTTCTCTCTCATCCAAAGTTGCCACTCCTTTTCTTCAAAAGACCGATGGAAGTTTATGCTCCTCCAATTTCGAAACAGCTGAGAACTTATCGTTCTCTTTCTCCAATGCCTACACCATCGAGCCACCAAACGATATACTACCCCATATTATTACTACACGTAATTTAGCTTGAAAATATATTTTTTACTGAAACCCAAATCAAAAATAATTTACTAGGTATCAAAGCTAACTCATCCCCTGGCCTTGACGGCTTAACACCTTATTTCTATAATAATGAATACATCCTTCACTCTAGGTTCTCTTCCCTCCTCCTGGAAATCTGCATCTGTTACTCCGATCTTTAAAAAAGGCAATAAACTTAATCCCAATAACTACCGCCCGATCAGCCTCCTATCAGTTATTTGGAAGGTTATGGAATCAATTGTTGCCGAAAAAAATTCCTCCTTTTCAATCCATGAAAATGTTATACCTTAACAACAACACGGCTTCATTAAAGGAAGATCGACTCTTACCAACCTCCTCCATTGGATTAATAATTGGACGAAATCCATTGACGATAAAAAGCCTATCGATGTCATTTATCTAGATTTTTCTAAGGCTTTTGACAGAGTCCCAAAACGTCGACTACTTCATAAACTGAAACATCTAGGCATCCGCGGTAACCTTCATAATTGGATCTTAAATTTTCTAAGCGACAGATATTTTAATGTAAGAGTTGGTAGCGCGTTCTCCTTAGAAAGACCAGTCTCAAGTGGTGTTCCACAAGGCTCGGTTCTCGGATCTTTGTTGTTTACTGCTTACGTAAGCGACCTTAAAGCGCTAGTTGCATCTTCAATATGTTTTTATGCCGATGATACAAAAATATTTGCCAACCCTCTTCATGACCATCAGGTACTTCAAAATGACCTTAACAACCTCCATGCATGGTGCTGCTACTGGCTCTTGCCCCTAAATATAAATAAATGTGTTCCATATTGGTAAAAATAATCCGGAGTTGCCATATTCAATCAACATGCATGCATTAAATAGAGTGTCCTCGTACAACGATCTAGGTGTTACAGTGAATTCTAATCTATCGCGGAGTGATCATATCGCTAATGTGTGCAAACGCGCAAACTCCAGATTATTCCTAATTCAAAAAACATTTCCAAAAGTGTCGTTTGAAACGTTGTTCAGACTTTATAAATGCTACGTCCGTCCTATCCTAGAATACGCAGAACCCGTGTGGTATCCAGACCTTGTACGCGACCGACAAATGCTGGAATGTGTTCAACGCCGCGCCAACCGGCTTACCTTTGGTCGCATTAGACCATCATACGAGGAAAGGTTAGATATGAGAAATCTTATAACATTCCAATAGAGACGTCTCGTGGTGACCTAATTTTGTTGTTTCGAATAATAAAAGATAACTTTGGCTACCTTAATAAAGCTTTTCCTTTAAATACTGACTCCTGACTTCGTGGACATTCGCTAAAACTACAGAAAGAAAACTTTAAAACATTTTCTGAGTAACAGAATCTTCGAAGTCTGGAACAACCTGCCCCAAGAAATTATAGATTCCCAAAGTGTCAATATTTACAAAAACAATATAGACAGGCATATTTTTCACAATTCATAGTAATGATATATTTTTGGATTTACCACCTGAACAATGTTCGAACTTATTTTCGAATTTAATTTTAAAACTTACCCTGGATCCACATTAGCAGTAGCTTCATCCATGACCAAAATTTTTTTGTTTTTCACTATAGCTCTCGCAAGACAGATCAACTGTCTCTGTCCTGCGCTCAAATTCGAGCCTCCTTCGTTGATTGTCATACTGAGATCGGTAAATACGTCTCTAAGTTCAACCTATAAAAAAGTAAGACTCATTCAATATAAAAGTTTTAAGTACAATATACTACACATACATGCTCCAACGCCTCCCATAACACTTTATCTTCGTGCTTCTCGAACGGATCTAGATTGTATCGTAACGAGGCCGAGAATAAAACTGGTTCCTGTGGTATAATCGAAATATTCGATCTTAAATCGCGCAAACCCAGCTGCGCAGTATCGAAATCGTCAATGAGAATGGTACCTTCTATCGGGGCCAGTCTGAATAACGAAGCGATCAACGTTGATTTTCCAGCGCCTGTTCTTCCAACTATGCCAACCTAGAAAAAAGTTAAACTCAACATTAGTTTCTTCCATAATATGACGGACTTCGAGTAAGGAACAGTAGGGAAGCAAAAGTATGTTATGCCTTCTATTGTTTCATTGATTTCTAGCCTGTACAGGTATACTTTATATTTGCTATGGTCGGCAGGTTGATACAGATAGCCCGTGTATTTCTCAATTTTACGCACATACAGTTTTCCGTGGCGTGCCCCCAAGAGCTCAAAGATGTCTTTATGTTGTCTTCCAAACGTCTCAAAGTCGAACGGAAACTTGCACGGTTTGCATAATTCCAATTTAACAAGGAGAAGAAGTTTACCTAGAACTTTTCTAGATGTAAGTAAGCCACTGCATATTATTTTTCAGTGTAGGTCTCGCCGTGATTATAAAATTTAACTTTTTTCTGCTCCAGTAAGTATTACCTGAACTCGGGAGTCATCCGGATTTGATATCGGAGCCCTTCGGGCTATTTAAAACTGTTTACGAAACAATATACTCTATAAGACTCCGCGAGCGGATTAACTCTCTAAAACCATCGACAAATGCGGTGAATATGTCGCGAAATCGTTCAACTCCATGCACCCCTAAGACATTGGAGATAACCAGTCATCAGCATCCTTACAAAACTGTGAGTAATCAAGGGAGACAAACTAACATAACTAATCTGGGATTAGCTGACCAACTCGAAAAAAGTTCGGAGAATCTCTACCCAGCAAAGACCGCAACTGCAGAGAGCAGAGCGGGAAGCAGCTCCGAACGATCAGACAAACTTCCTAGAAAAGTACCCAACACACTCTCAAAAGTTTGTAGAAAGCTGATGCGACCACACTCAATACAAACATCAAAGATTGCGAAAGTTCGGAGAACACACATCGAGTCAGACCAAAAAAGATTGGAGAAAACTGATTGATCCCAACATAACCGCCGCAAAACGCGAAACTTCGGAGAACGCTGTTCTACACACATCAAAAACTGACGAGCTGGATAGAAAAAACGAAAGCTTGGAGAACCTTATCAACGGCCTGGAGGGCACGAATGAAGACTCCAACAGCCCTGAAAATCTAAATGGAACCGTTCTAGAAATCCCCAAAATTATCAAAAAATAAAACAACAACAAAAAGTATGCAGAAAATCACACAGTCTTCGAATCGGCATACAAAACTCTAGCACTGCCAAAAAACGTGATGACTTCGGACAGGATGCACTATTACTCCTGGAGCCACCCCTCCTAGTGAAAAAATGGCCCACGGAATCTTAATGCAGGAGCACGAGGACCCACAGAAACACAGATACGCGACAAAAATAGCACTCTAACAGAAAAGGTGGATCAAGTAACTTTAGATTCGGCTTTGTTCCCACAGCCACAGAGTTCAATGTAAACAACACCCCCTATAAAGGAATCTATAACTTCCCCGCTAACAGCACAGGAGCCGTGCCAAAAATGTACAGCACTCCGAGTGACCCGAGAATAAAAATAGGGGTACGAAGTACAGACCTAACCCCGAACATTGACAGAACCATTTTTAATTTCAATTCTGGAAACACTACTTCGGAAGAGGAGAGAAAATCCACTGATGAACAACATACCCAAGGTCAGAACAAACTACCGCACTCTCTCAATAGTACTTTCCTGCTTAGGTCCAAGAACAGCCGTATAAAAATAGTGCAAATGGACACCGATAACCAACCCTTCCTTACCCTTAGAAAGTTTAGCGCGAACTTTGAGAAACTAATAAGGGAAAAATCAAGGAAACACCATAACGAAAAACAGGTATCGAGCCCCTACAGAAGAATCAGACTCGAAGATGGACGATGATCTGGGTAAAATAGTGAAAAGGAAGAGAAAATCTGCTAAATCCAGGGAAGCCAAAAGCAACGACAAACCTGCTGACAAACCGGAAGGAACAATTGAGAGCAGAAAATAAGGCCTCAAATAATAAAATCGCACAAAAAAAAAGTAAGAACTGCCCCCAAAGCCAAAAACCATATGCACCCTATCATAATCGACGGCAAGACCATGCGCCAAAACATTCTCATAAACGATATAAAACGTATCGTCACAGGAAATTTTAGTACATACTAACAACTCTACGATCCTCTTTCTAGAAGAGAAGGAGCATCATGAAAAAATGGTCAGCAGCATAAAAGCTGAAAAACTACCCTACCATACTTAATCAAACAGATATGAAAAGACGCATGCCTTCGTCCTAAGGGGGCTAGCGGATGGCACCAAAATCGAGGACATCAATGAAGACAACAAAAGAATACGACATTAAAGCAAGATCAATCTATAAAATGAACACGAAAAACTGCCCGCTGTTCCTGGTCGTAACGAACCCAACCCTTACTTTGGACTATTTTAATAAAAACGCGCGTAGAGTTCTATATACCAGAGTGGTCTGGGAACTTCGTAAGTCCGTGAAACAAATAGTACATACTAGCAATGGAGGCATGCAACCGCGAATTGTGGAAGACAACCCAAATGCTTAAAATATGCGGGTGATCGCCACACAAGCACATGTCTCAAGACCAGAGACATCCCTGTGACCTGTGTACACTGTGGTGGTGATCGCCCCGCGAATTACACGAAGTGTAAAAGTTATACCGATAGAATAGAAAGACTAGAACTAAATCGTATGCACAAAATAATTATGTACCCGTCCCCGCACCGTTAGTCAACCAATGGGAAAACAGAAGACCCCACAGAAGAACTGATGACTTTCCTGCACTGCCCACCAGAGAACAGAGGGCAAACTCAAGATCAAATAGCACCTCCACGTTCCCCAGAATGGAAAATCCGAGACAAACGATCCAGGGTTCAGTCACGGCCGATGTCACCTCTCTGAATGAAGCTTTTGCAGATTTAAACAGTCTCGTTAACATAGGTGATCTTGCTAATTTCACTTACTCTCAAGTTAATAACATCAGGCAATCTGATATTGAAAACACTTGCAGAGACATCGAAGCCATGAGGGTACAACTTGTATCAAACGAACTACTTACCTCACCTAAGGAAGAAGTAGAAGCGATAAAGAGATCATGCACAAAAGATCTCCAGGCCCGGATGAAATCCCTAATATGTTACTAAAAAAACTGACAAGAAAGGCTTTAGTTCTACTGCACTATTTAATAAACTCAATTATAAAGTTGCAATATTACCCTTCTCTTTTCTTACCGGGATTTCCAAAATCATTGACCGCATATTATTGACTAGACTACACACATACGAACAGGACAAAACAATCACACCGTCAGAACAGTACGGTTTCAGAGTCGGACACAGCACGATTGCACAAATTATAAGAAACGCGGATAATGCTAATAAAGCATATAATAACAAAATGCAAACAGTACTTGTCGCACTCGATGCTGCTAAGGCGTTTGACACCATCTGAACTGACAGTCTGATCTACAAAAAGTTTGAGAATGACTAACCCTGTTTCCATTGTAAACACAATGCAATCATACCAAAATCATACCTCCAAAACAGACAATCCTACATAAACAACCAAATATTGCAAAACGACTAATTTTGTCAAGAATTGCTACACTTTTTAACCCGTTGGGACTTCTCAGTCCATGCGTTATAATCACTGCAACAATTGTGGTTAGAAAAATTAAGTTTGGATGATCCATTACCGGGACATATTTAAAATATTTGGTTGAAATTTCATGAAAATTTACAATACATTAATAAATTAAAAGAAATATTTTCTTTCTTGTTTAACAACAGTTCACAAATTTCGAATTTGTCTGCTCATATTAACATCCGTTTCCATTTTATATCTGTTAATGTTCCTTATTTTAGTGGCTTATGGAAAGGCAATATTAAAAGCGTTGATCGCCATCTTAAACGAGTAGTTAGTAAAAAATTTCTCACTTTTTAAGAGATGCATACTTTTTTAGTTGAAATCGAATCAGTACTAAATTCTAGACCACGTTCTTCCTTATTAACCGACCCAAACGACATCATCGTTCTAATATCCACGTGCTTGATTGGAAGATCCCTACAGATCAGTACATTCAGATGATGCAGCAGCATAGCGAATTACAAGTAAAAAATAAATGGAAGGAGGAGAATGGATGACTCAAACAAGGACAGTTAGTGATGATCAAAGAAGTCGATGAACCTGCAACAAAGTGGAATCTAGGCCGAGTTATAGACTTTAAACCTGGACCTGGTCCTGGACCCAGAATGGTTACAAAACGCGGCCTGTATGAAAAATTTGTCCGCTTCCAGTTTATTCCCCAGCGATAAATGACAATAATTGAAAGCCGTCCCTTTCAAGGCGGGGGGCATGTTTAGATTTACACCCTATATAATCTTCTACTATGTTTTCATGGTAACATGAGTTGTGATTATTCAAATTTGTAATTTCAAAATAAACGTCTTTCCAAAACCCAAACTATCAATCCATTCCAACTAGCCAGATACAAAAATTAATGTGTGAAATGGACCCATGAAGAAAAAGGATCCCAATCCGATGACTGAAAAAGTAGAAGGATATGAATACGAAAGAAATACTTACTTTTTCTGCAGAACCAATGTCGATATTCAGGTTCTTTAATACGGGAGACAATTCTGGAGCATAACTAAGAGAAGTATTTTTAAAATGGATTTTGCCTTTGCTGGGCCAATCTAGCGGTGGCTTTTGTCCTATAGTTTCTAACGGGTGCTCTTTCTTTAATTTCGTGTATTGCATCACCCTTTCCACACTGATCATGTTACTGGCAACTTCGGTACTCTGCCTAACTCCGAATTGCAACATATTAGTCAAGATGAGACTTTGAGAAATGACCAAGCCGACGCTGCCGCCAAGCGTATTTTCTAAAATTTGTATATTATTAATTGTGTGTAAAATTTTGATTCGCAGTGTATATCCTACCATCTTGGAATATTAGGAACTGAAAAGTAACTAATGCAAGAAACGTTGTGCTGATTACATCAAGATAGAAACCAAAAGTAGTACTGCTAGCAATAAATAAAAACCATGTGCTCGTATGTTGATCTTGCAGAACGTCGAATTCTTTAATGAGCATTTGTTCTGCATTTGCAGATCTTATGGTAGACAAACCATGATAAGAGACGGAAACGTGAGAAAATAATAGAGCTCTACCTGGAAACAAACAGAGGTTAATGACTAGTAACTTTGCATTGCCAAATATCTTAACTTGTTCCTTCTAATCTCTTAATAGCTTGGGCACACTTCAAATATACGACTCTAAACCAGTAAAAGATGATACCTAGTACAATTGTTGGAACCATCATCATTGGAGTAACTATGAAGGCCATGGTTAATATACCAAACATAACGAGGAAAATTTGAAGAGAATCAAATTGAGCTCGTGGTAATATTTCGTCAATAGCTCCCATGTCTTTTGAAAACCTGTTTAATATCCGACCTAAAATATAAAATCAACATTTAAATTTGCACACGCATCTGTAATATCGAACAAAAACTCGTTTTTGGTATCTGATGTTCACATATGGTAACTTATTCTGAACTAATTTCATACGGCTCACAGTGGGCCAGAGTCATCTTTAAATGTTGAAAAACTATTAGAGGCAATTTTTAGTTTATTTTTTCTCGTTAATATTTCCATTTAAGCCCAAGCAAGTAATTTTTATAGATATTTTTTCGGGCGAACTTTCGAACTTGACAGTTTGTGCGAGGAAGGAAACATTTTTATTAAGTATTTTAGGTAAATAAAAGATCACAAAAATCGTAACCTACAGAACTGAAGTAAAAAGGACCTAATGAGACTTAAAAAGCTCGAACTAGTATTATCGATTACCATTTGCATTTAATGGGTTGCTTCCAGTAATTCGTGAACAAAAACTTTAAATCCCTTTTCAAAGGTACTATGCAATAATGAACATTTTGTCAAATTAACAATATGGTGAATTTTATTAAATTCATGAAAATTACAAAACCTTATTTAACTTTATGAAATCTTAAGAAAAAAGTAATCAGAATCACTCTCAGACGAAGAATCTAAAAGCGCATTTGGCGAATGTGCCTCTTAAAAGATTAAGGACTTCTGGAGAAAAACACTTCTTCTTAACTATAGTTTTTCTTCTTAAGCTATAACTGGATCTGATTAAATACATATTAATTATTATTGAAACCACTTGCAATCACTTGAAGGATCACGTAAAATCTGTATATTAAGCTTTCATCCAATCCAGTAATTTTTGAGGATAAAACATTGTTTCGGAAAAAAGTCCTGGCACATTTACCATCATTATTAAAAATAGCTAGATTGAAATCACCAATAAATATTATGTATTTGTATTGAGATAAAAGGTTTATATAGTAAATAGTGTAACTGTATGTAACACATTAGGATATCCTTGCCAAAACTTAAAAAATAATATTTAGATGTAATGAAAAAACCTTTTCTTAATATTGCCAATATTTCCACGTCTCTATAGGTACATAAACAAAAAGAGTTTGCTAAAAAAAATATAAACTTACCTGCATAAATGTCACCCATCTTAAAACTTTCAAAATGAAGCAAGGCCTTAAATATTTTGCGAAACTTTAAGACATTCTCAGGGAAAAAACTGAAGACACCAACTCAACAAAAAACATGTCAACGTTTGCAGTTTACTAGCGTGTATCCAAGGCAACCGATGACAGTGATTCTACTGTATAAAGCCTTGGTTTCTTTGAACACTCCGTCGCGGTGAGCGGACAGTCCGTCGACCGCTGAGGACAGCAATTTTCGCCCGAGGTGGTTTGTTAAAAAATATAGAAAATGATACTTTCTCTATGTCTGTACGTGCTGTTTATGTATTATGAATGTAAACGAAAGGTACTAAAATGGTTGCAAATAAATTGTTTGCGTTGTTATTATTGTTGGAAGAGGAAGAACAAGAGGAACTGGCAATTGCAACCGTCAAAGTTTCCAATAAGCCAGTGAATGAGTTGTTTTTCTGTCGCGATACAGAAGGTGCCTTTAATATCACTGTGCAGCGGAGGCTTTTTGGAAATGAAACCAAATTTAGGGAGTATTTTAGACTTTCTACAGATCTTTTTGAATTCGTGTTGAGTTTTATAAAGGACATAATTTCCAAGAAACCTAAAAATAAAGTCATGATGTCATCTGTATGTGTGAATTTGTCACTCATTGTTTTAAAATTAATAACAATATAGTCTCCGCACACGCCGACGATTCCGCTGATATCAAACTCAACAGATATCAACCGACTCTTCGCGACAAATCAGCGGCATGACGCCGTCCTGTTCAGCTAAGCGGATTCAAGAAAACCATTCCCATTTAAATACTCTGGTTGGATAAAATCGTCAAAACGCGACGGTTGACGGACTGTCCGCTCACCGCGACGAAGTGTTCAAAGAAACCAAAGCCTTAGAATGCTATTAGAGCCGACTTAGTTGTGATCTATAAAAATGTATTGCTATTTCAGTAGTTTGTTAATTTTGAATTTTTCAACATTTAAAAGAGAATTCTGACCCAATGTGCGGCTTAGGTTATTATACTTTATTCATTTGAGTTCCTAAATGGTTCGCGTTAGTCTGGGAAGTGTTGCTAGTGAGGAAAACGTAAATTTTTGCGATATACCATCTCGTGTATGGAACTAACATAATGAAGAATTTAGAGAGGTAGATATAATATAAAATTGCACAAAGACCTTACGACATAAAAGCGTAAGATTCCAAAAGTACTCTACCTGAAGGATTGGTATCGAAAAATCTCATCGGAGCTTGAAGAACGTTGTTGAATATTTGGCTGTGCAAAACCTTCGAAGCTGTCATACAGACGTGGTAAAACAAAAACGATCTAATCGTCAATAAAATTATCGAACTACCGATAAGTATTGTATACATCCAAATGTAATAGTCCCTCGGCTTTATTTCGTATATCGATTTTAAAAATATAGTAGAATTAATAGTGCTATTTAATAAATAATCCATTGTAATGTTTGTAGTAGATACTTCAGGTAATGATGATGCCGTGGTTGTGTGTAGAGATAGGTTGGATGGTAACAAAGTGTCCAAAGCAGTTTTTGGTAGTATTGAAGCCGGTATTGGACTGTCCGTCCCGTTGTTATTTAATTGGGATTGTTTTACTTCATCGTTAACCCTAAAAAAATATTGTTTAAATATTTTTATAACATATGTTTTACAAAACTGAGGGTCATGCGTAGTTATTTAAACATCACCAACTCACATTGGTAGTAACTGCTACTGATAATAAATATTCCTCTGGGTATATTGAAATTAAAAAAATATAGCGGATACTGCGTGGTAGAGCTCGATTTTTTATGAAGAGCACACTTCGTCATAATGTGCAAAAACCAATTTGAGTTTGTAGGCGTGGTCAGACAGATAAACGTGATCGAAGCCGCCTGCCGCTCATCATCGCTCATACAAGTTGAATTCTGTAGCGTATTGTTACTTATTTTTACTTGTTGCATTTATTTAGCTATTGTGAGCTTGTTGAGTTTTGTGCTTCGATTTTTGAGTTTCCTGAGTTTTTGTGCTTCGATTTGTGTATAAATAAACTTTAATTTGTTATATTTTTTGAATTCCTAATTAATTTTGTGTATATTTTGGTAAGTACATTTACAAAACTATAAATATTAATCTCAGAAGAAACCGAACATCCTGAAATATTTTAAATAGGTACCTTTTAAACCAGATTTTTTTTGTAAACCATATTTTTCTTATCCTAAGAGCTATTGCTGCGGTAATGAAATAAAATTCGAAGGTTTTATATATTTTATCACCAAGTTCTTAATATTTAGGGTATTGCACGTGATATTTTTTTTTGTTGCTATATAGTAACTTAAACTACAGTTCTGTAGTATGAAATCAACAAAAATAGTATTACCACAACGCAGAAAAAAAAATAAAAAAATGTCTGAGTATGATCACTGTTTTAAGGATATTATTATTTCTTGATGAAAAAACTGAAACTAAAATTAAACAAAAAGGAATATTTTTTCAATACAAATTGTAAAGGAAATATTTCTCTAGAGAATTCTTAAAAGAAAATTCTAATCGAATAAAAAATAAAAGCAGAATCCTTAAAAGAGTGATCATACTCTGAAAATTTTTTATTTCCTTTTCTGCGTTGTGGTAATACTTTTTTGTTGATTTCATACTACAGAACTGTAGTTTAAGTTACTCTATAGCAACAAAAAAAATCACGTAAATACCTTAAATATTTTTTCCTTGGCTAGAATCGGTTTGCTCTTGATAAATAGAAAAATAAGTTTAATATTATTTAAAACTTTCCTATAAATATCTATATTTTTAGCTCGTTCAAAATGGAACAGAAAAAATTATTAGGCAAAAAGGGCCAAATTATTCAAAGTCAAACGAAAGAAATAATTTCACGCCTCATAAATTTTATGAAAAACGAGGCTGAAGTTTTAATTTTCTTTATAGAAAATTATTTTTTAAAAAAATTAAGAACTACTTTTAATATGTCTTTATTGATCAAAGTCAAGCTAAAGAATAATGTATATATTTACATTTAATCCACACCTATGTTTATCTCTAGGAAAATTTATAAAAGTATGATAAGATAAAAGTTATTTACAGGAAGTATTTATTGTCTATATAGCAGTTTTAGCAACACGTAACTCCTCCCTCCTTAAGTTTCGAAAAGAATGGAATGACTTTTCGAATGGGCTTTCATCGGAATTTCTTCTGTTTTTTCAATTTTCCTTTTTCTGCATTTCGGAATTTTGTTCCTGAATTTTAATATAGCTGCGACGATTAGGCCGGTAATTAAAAGTCCCAAAATTGTTCCAAATATAGGTGTATCCATTTGAGTATTTGAGCTTTCTTGAATCGGTTTTAGTTTTCTGGAGATTTCGTTGATTTCATACAGACTATCAAAATCAATTTTGGTAATATTAGATCTTTGATAATGTCCGGATGTGTGTATGTGATCCGTTTGAAATTTTGGCAAAATAAATGGTTTTCCTTGAGTAAGTTGAATGTCGTTAATGTACTTCTGTTCGTTGGCCCATATTTCGCAGGTTTTCGGGATTTTGATTAAAATCGGGTTCACTACTTCTAGATATCGATTACTTTTACATTTTGATAGAATTTGTTGCGCTTTGGCTGGTATTATCAAGACTTCGTCTGTGGTAACTTGTTGAACGATCATTTCTTGAACATTAACTTCTAAGATATGGCAATTTTGAGGGATATGACCTTCCAGTAAATTGAGGGTGCAGTTGTCCCTTGGAATAAAATTTTGTTGACAGTAGTAACAATTTTCTAGTGCTGGGCATTCTTCTTTTTCGAATTGAGTTTCCTTTTGTTCTCGTGCCAAATAGGGGAAAGTGGGAGTATATATTTTGTGATTTTGAATTATTGGATACAAATGATAAAATTCAAAAGTTTCGGGTTTAAAGATAGGAATATGAACTGCAAAAATTAATTTTGAATCGGATATTGATACTTGAGTTCCTAGAAATTGGTAATAAGTTAAAATATTTTTGAATTTAGGAATTTGATTTTCATCGTATATTCCATGTAAGTGATTTATCATATCTATTATTTCTGAACTAGAAACTATGGAGCTATGCAAGGAGTTAAGTTTAGAGAATACAATAGCGTTTTCTAAATTATCGATAAATGTTATAGTTGCTTGACAATCTAGATTAAGCTCGGATAGAACACCTTGAAAGCTTAAATAACTTTCGAGAGTTTCTATTTTATTGTAAACTGATGCTGAAAATTTTTCCAAATCATTATTAAACTTTTCTTGATTTTTACTCAAAATAGAAATTGATTTATTGTAATGATCTATAAGTTTTTTATAGAGTGAAATTTGTAAGTTAGTCTCGTCAATTAGGTTTTTCTGATTCTTTTGTAATAAACTGATAGCTTGGTTATATTTGTTTTCATCGTCCGAATCTAGATTTCCAAAGAGCCATTTATTCAATTTTCCAATGCCATTAATTAGGCCTCTTTTATTACGGATATGTGGATTTAAATTATTAAATTTTTTCTGAATAATATTAATTAAATATTCCGTTCTTGTTAGCATGCTTTGAGATAACCCATGATATGATACGGGGTTTGTAACATTTACTTGCGTTATACTACCTAATACTATTCTAAAATGTTGAACTAAACTATCTATTTGTTTAACAAGGGTACTTAAATCTACGTAGTGTAAAAAGGTATGTTTACTATAAACTAATCTAGCATTTCCTAATTGGATAGGAAGAAGCAGGTTTTCTAATTTAGTAATTTGTATATCTTCTCCATTACAGGTCATTTGATGTACCTGAAGGACCAGGTAGATCATCAAGATCTTCGTGTTCATCGGTATCCTGTAAAATTGTTTTTTATTACTTTTCGGTTTTCGTGCAATACTTTTGTGATAGGTTCCTTTATTGGTTTTAATTAAGACATTTTTATTTTTGTTTAATTTAGTAGCTTTAAATTTAGGGAGTTTTTTATCTCTTGATTTAGTTTTAACGTAAACTATTTTTGTTTTGAATAGTCCGGCGGATCGGACCTTTTTTTGTTCAATTTATTTATTATTTTTTCTTTAGTTTTTTCGTTACGTTCTCTAATTTTTTCGTACAATTGTTTACTAGCTTCTTTGTGATTTTGAACATAGTGGGAAATTACTAAGTGGTACCTAGATGACCACAAATGGATCAGGGTTATTTGTGTGACCTTTAATGATTTAGAAGGTGTAAATTTGGTAACAGGAGTGAATCAAATTTTTGTAACTTAAGACTGCATGTTTAATTATTAATATTATTATTATTTATTACTTTTTATTTTATCAAAATAAGAAACGTAATTTAAATAAAAATATGTTTTTTTTTTGTTACAGTAGTACTTAATTAATTTTGAATTTTGTTCCTTTTTTCTTAAAGTTTGGAAAACATTTAAATTTTATTTTCTTCCTGTTACATTTATATTTTCCTGGTTTTTTCATTTTGGTTTTAATTTTATTATTTGGCAATGAAAATTCTTTCTTTTCTTTTTTCTTGTATTTATGTATTGTATTTGTTCTAGTTTTAATATTTTTATTTGATAATGTAAATTCTTTTTTATTATACGGATTTATTTTATAAAACTTTTTATTGGTCGGCATAACATTTAATTTGTATAGTTGATCGATATCAAATATTTGATCGTCATTTTTAATATCTATTTTTTGATCTAATTTAGGAAAATAATCTACTAACTCTTCAAGAACTATTTTGTCGATATCATTTATATTTATGTCTAAAGATTCGGTTTCTGAAGTATTAATTTCATTTAATTCATTTTGAGATATTGCATTGTCTGCTAAATTATTTTTATATAAATTACTGTTGATTTTTTGTAGATTATTATCAATATTTTCACTTTCAAAAAGTTTAGACATGTTTGTTTCAAAACAAATATCTTTCATAGATTTGGTTTCAAAATTGTTTAATTCCGATATATTTTTATTAAGTTTAGAAGGAATAGTCCCTAAATTATTTTTAATATTTTGTGCTTTAACTAAAATTTCACCGTTGTAAACGCTGACTGGTAATTTTTTGATAGCTGTTTCTCTGGAATTCGCAGAGAATGAAAATTTTACATCGTCAACTCGTCTATATTTGAAGGGTATTTCTGTATTATATCCGACTAACTTTTGATTAGTGATGTCGATATTCAAGTTCATATTTTTTAAATCTGTTATTCCTAATATTCCGTCAAAATAATGATGAAAATCGTACAAAATGAAATTGATATGATAATTATTGCGATTAAATTCTGGGAATGCGGGAACGGATGCTTGATATCTTAAATTCTTACTACCGCAACTTGTTGTTATTACAACATTTGAGTGATAAATAGTATCTGGATAAAATGTTTCGATAACAGAGGGTTTAATTATTGATACGGAACTGCCTGTATCAATCAGTAATTTTAATCTAGGGTGAGAAATTTCTATATACGGTAAAGGGTTTTTTGTAAAAAAATTATTTATTTCTATTATCGTTTTACTTTTGACAGGCTGGCGGCCTGAAAATTTTGATTTAAGCTGTCTTCTTCGTTTTTATGTTCATTAAAAATTTGTTCATTATCAAATTCATGATTTTGACTTTGGTATTGATCTAAATTATCGCAATCATTATGGTACAAATCTGTATCATATTCAAATTTAGGGTTAGAATCACTATATTGATTTGAATGTAACTCTTCAAAAACAAAATTTGGTTTTGAATTTTGATTAGAGTTTTGGAAAAATTTATTATTATAATTAAATGGTCTTCTTGTTTGTAAACTAGGATTTCGCGATGTTGTTGACATCGGCACTGGTTTTGGTAACTGACTTTCAGAAATCTGATTTGGTCGAAAGACATTTTTTTGTGGGCCAAATACCTGGCGGTTTGTAAAATATTTTTTATTTTGTTGGATAGGTTCTACATTAATTGGCTGACTAGGGAAATTTTGCCTGTTTGTTGGATAATTTTGAAAACGTGTATTTAATTGTTGATTATTTGGTACAAAATTTTGGAATCTATTTTCATTAAAATTGTGATTTTGATTAAAATTGTGATTTTGATTAAAATTTTGATTTTGATTAAAATTTGTATTATTTTTTGAAAAAGTTTGTCTGTTATTATTAGAATAAAATCCATTTTGTTGAAGATTTCTGTCATTTATGTTTCCGTACAAATCTTGGAAATTATTAAATTCTTTTACGTACGCCATAGCATCCTCTAAAGAATCTGGTTTTTTAAGGTGCATGTTATTTTTTAGAATTCCACTACAACCAGCTATAAAAGTATTTAAGGCTGTCTTATTATAATGGTTAATTTGACAAATTTTATCATTTTGATCAATGTAAAGATCATTGCTTATTCTCTGTACTACGCTACTTTTAATTAATTGTAATCTACTGCCAAAATCAATAAGGTGTTCACCTTTAAGAGGTTTAGTCCTTGTTAGTTCTTGGACGAGACAATCAAGATCACGTCGATCTGCAAAAGCTTGTAACAAAGCATCTTTTAATTTTGGCCAAGTGTCAATTTCTACTCTATTGCCTACCATAAATTCGGCACGACCTTCTAATTTTTCTTGTACACATTCAAATGCATGTATGTTTAATTCTACATCATTATAAATCTTATAAGAATCAATAAACTTCTCACATCTAGTAATAAACTTATTTAAATAATCACTTTCACCATTAAAAGGTTTGATATTATTTAGTTTAGATTTGAAAAGGTCCCAATTAATTTGGGCCCGTTGAGGGGTAGAATTACTAGGTGTCATATTTCTTATATCTGAATTACTTTCACTAATTGAGATATTACTAAAAGCTCCGACTAAAGTATCAAAATCGTTCATCAAAAATTAAAACATATGCGTGTATATAAAAAATTAATATTCAACTTAAATTATCTTTCCGAAACCTATGAATGGTGGGAAAGGCGAAAAAAGGAAAATTTGGCACTTACGTTTGCAGAAGAAACTGGCTTCCAAAATCCTCTTCTCCGATTCTTCGCTTACTTTGGGATGTCCACTGAAGGGCTGATAGTTGGTTTTCCACAGATGGGAACCGTTGGTTAGAATTCGCGCTTAAAACGTTAACACGTTAAAACCGTGAAAGTCTGCACGATAGTGACTAAAAGTCCAAGTCTATCACTCGAAGAAAATGATTTTCTCGAATTTACACAGTGTTCACAGCTCGCACGAATCCTACTGACTGCGCCAGTTTTAATTTTCTTTATAGAAAATTATTTTTTAAAAAAATTAAGAACTACTTTTAATATGTCTTTATTGATCAAAGTCAAGCTAAAGAATAATGTATATATTTACATTTAATCCACACCTATGTTTATCTCTAGGAAAATTTATAAAAGTATGATAAGATAAAAGTTATTTACAGGAAGTATTTATTGTCTATATAGCAGTTTTAGCAACACGTAACTCTGAACACGGTATTCAAATACCATTACACAAATACGGAGAGATTTTTAGCTGCTACAGGGACTTCTAGAAGCAGTTATTCCAGAATTAAGAAGATGGCCGGTGAAGTAGAAAGTGGAGTTAGTACTTCATTTTCACAAAGAGGATATACAAAAGAAGTACTGTTGTAGAATCTGAAGAGTTGAGGTATAATCCATGATTTTCATATTATTGAGAAAAAAATACCAACTCTTAATTGTAAGTTACTATTTTGATTATAATGGCAACGTATTTAATATAAATATTATTTAAGGTATACAAAAAATGAAGGATTGTTGTTTTGAATTCCGGGGCAGCATCTCATCACTTAGGAAAATATTATTAAACATGGGTTTTAAGTAAGTATAAATAACGTTATATAAAAAAATCAAAATAAAAAGATACCAAAATAATTAATTTCTCATAGTTAAGTTTTGTACGTATAAAATTACAATGTTTATTTTTTCAGGTGGAAAAAAATGAAGACAACAGATCTGTTCTGTTGGAATCCTACGACATTAGGAATAAGAGGACAAATTATTTAAAATCCTTAATACATTATCGGCAAGAGGGCAGAACTATTTATTAATGTGATGAGACCTATTTACATAGTAGTCATACACATTCGAAAGGATGGACCGATGGCAAAGGCAAATTCAAAACTCCAATGAACAAGGGGAAAAGGCTTATAATGTTGCATTCAGGGAGTAAGGATGGTTTTATAGAAAATGGACTGTTGATATTTACTTTAGGTAATAATCTATTTTTATAGAAAATTATTTATTATTTGCGTCTTTACCTACTTCATAAATATCCATGATGCTTAACAACCGAAAGTTATGATCAGCTTAAATTAAATTTAAACTGTTGTAGTATCTAATTAACAAGTAATTTAAGTACTTAATGTAGTGGTTTATTTTATTATTTTCAGTTTAGTTAAAAGATCTTTACCTGTACTTAATCCTTTATTGTTATGCAAGGGAAAGTTTTTAGTAATAACTTTTTCTTAGGATTATTATAATAAGTCTTATCATCTTGAAGAAATATTTCTTCTAAAAACAGATTTTTTAAGTGATTTAAAATTCCTAATAATTTTTGCTTTACTAAGCAATTATTTCATTTAAAAGAGTTTTTTTGTAAATTTAAGTATCATACAAAAATAATTATGAAAAATATATTTGCATTATAGATAATAAATTCTTTTTTACTTTTTTTCAGGGAAAAAGACAGGAGATTATCATGATGAAATGAACTGGAATAATTTTTCCCAATGGGTTAGAAGGCAGTTACTACTAAATCTTCCTCCAAGGTCTGTACTTGTAATCGATAATGCAAGTTATCATAATGTAAAATCTGAAAAATCGATTACAACGCAGACCAAAAAAAGCAGATTTAATTAACTGGCTCGTTAAAAACAATAAACCACATGATAATAAACTGACCAAACCAGAACTGTATACATTAATAAAAATTCACAGACCTCCACCGAAATTTCTTTTAGACGATCTTCTCGAAGAACATGGGCACAAAGTTCTACGATTACCTCCATATCATCTCGAATTAAATCCCATAGAAAAAATATGGGCCACAGTAAAAAATTGGGTGGGTCAACATAACACAACATTCAAGTTGGATAATGTTGAAAAGTTGGCAAGAGAAAAATTCCAAAGCATAACGCTGGAGGAATGGGCAAACGTGGTGGACCATTCCGCGAAATATGAGGATGCATATATTCAAAGAGAACACCTTATGGATGAATTTACAGATTCCCTCATATTTAGTGTAAACACGGGGTCATCCGATGAGTGGGAATCCGATATTTCCGACTTGGAAGATGATGAAGATGATGAAAATGTTTAAAATTATACAAATTAAATTAAAATATATTATTTATTTAAACTTTTAGTTGTTTTATTAATTTAAAGTTCATCAGCAATTTAACTAACGAATAGTTAAAATTTAACATTAACTGATTAATATGTTCGATTTAAAATATTTTATTGTACACACGCCACTGCTAAGATATCAGGTACCTCTACCGCAGCAGATTTCATCCCAGCGCCATCAACTAAAGCTCCACAAAGTTATGACGTACTGCGCGAACTGTGGCATAGCTATGACGAAATGTGCTCTTCACAAAAAAATGGAGCTCTATGTACTAGCAATTCCTAATAATGGAAGTTTCAGATTAAGTATATAATAATATTAGCTGACCCGATCCCACTTGGCTAGCATTTCTCAAACCACAACAGTTTTCGTTACTCGAGAGAAATTTTTTCATGCCATACCTGTTTAAAAGATATTAAAGTTTTGTCGAACTTCGTGTTCACACTCTTTACTTAAAATATCGTAAAGTATTTAACTTTTGGAAGTTGTATTTCTTACCAATGAGACATCCACAGATCTGCAGAGTTTGTAACTACTTGAGCTATAACGAACATAGAAAGAGAAAATAGCACTAATAAAATGTTACCACCGGCTCTCCAATAACCCAAATACGTATCAGCAGAAATGTTGCCTTTTTCTATCAGTTCATCTGTTTCTTCTGGCTCGTCTCCAGCTATGGACTACAAAAAGAAGTAATAAGTTATAATACAACTAAACCAATTAATTTTTTATTCTAGATTACAAAATTACTCACTTCAAGAGAATCCACTGACTGGAAGGTAAGATCTTTACTGGGCGCCGCTTCCATTTTCTCAACTTTTTCATATTTTTCTTCACTTTCTACTTGTTTTTGAATGAATTTCAGATCTTTGTCCGTCATCTCACTAAAGCTACATGCTTTTTCGATTTTTCCCTAAAAAATATTGACTACACATAAATAACAATAAGTAGAAAAACTACAAATTATTGTGATTCCTACTATTTGGATGATTTAATCGAAGACTGCAATTTTCAGTTTGCCATTGTGCTTCTGAATGGTACCTTAATACTAAATAATATGATCCCAGTATATGTATCAATCATTACTGGCCACATACTTTGATTACTATACGGGGCAAGAGAGAGGTCCAACACGCCCAACATAGGGCGCGGCCATTTTGATTCCTATGACACAGTTTATAGCTAAAGAATCAGATCGCTTACTCTGCGTTGGCACTTTTGATCTCAATGTTCCAGTTTATACACTGCGCAACTCAGATAATACAATATGTGACAACCGCCTATAATAAAACAACAGTCTTCTGCGTATCCTGAATTTGTATCCCTGGAGTGGATGCTATTTTGGAACTTTCAACTGGTCCGAGTGAGCTAACTGATTCTTTAGCAATAAACTGTGACTCCAAAAATAATATTCACTAACACTGACAGCAGCAATCATAATATCAGGTGCGTTTTAATCATCCGCTTCTGCTTCCGGAATTGTCGGTTCAGTCGTTTTAACCTGTCAGATTAAAACAAGAAAACCGACAACTTCGAAGCAGAAGTGGATGATTAAAACGCACCTATTAAAAATATTGCGCCAAGATGTAGGCAACACGTAATAAGGGTTCAAAATGGCGGAGTTATCTATCTCCTTTTAAAAGGCATTCAGAAAGCTGCGCAGTGCGACCATTCTCCGTATAGTAAAAGAAAATCAAAGTATGTGGTACTGGCACTCTGAGGCGGTACGTGGAGATTTTAGTTGATACTTGACGTTTTCAGGATATGAAAAGTTTTTTTACACGGACTTGGTTATACCTGGTTAGTTGAATTTTTGTTCTGTTGCTTTTCAAAATCGTGTGTATGAGCGAAACACCTTCATACAGACAACGGTTGAATAACTTAACTACTTTGAAGAAGAAAATCGATTAGATATCAGGGCAGTCTTCACAAATGTAAAAACGACAGAACCGTTTTAAAATTAATATATGTGATTGAGTGTCAAAAATGTTTGAATTTCGAAACTAAAATAAGTATTACTCTTTAGTGAAAAGTTTAATTACTTTTAATTCAAAATATAACGTTAGTTTGTCAAGGGAAATATATTACACACAAGGTTGGAGTAACAAAATAGAGGTTTTGCTTTATTTCTTAAAAATAACTCTAATCTATACCTTTTCTAGTATATTGTAGAAATTTACTATATACGATATTTAGGTACTGCAAAATCTATAGGAAAGTATGTAGTTTTAAATATCGTTACATTTTATTATAAATTAATTTGATTTTATTTAAAAATGGGAACTATAAGTATATGGTTTTCGTAGTTTTTACACTTGTAATAAAAATATCAAAGTTATATATTTTGGACATTTACTACACACAGCAAATTCATAGACACAATACATATCACTATAGTCTGTTCGCTATACTTATACAGTCGAAGAAGAGAGGAAAACCATCGCAAAAAACATGAAAAAAGACGGCATGATCATGTCATCATCGAAGTTCTACAGTTCCTGGACAACCGATACCTAATGAGAAGGCTCAGAAGAACTAAACCATTTGAATTAGTGATGTGAAAGTGTGTTAAAGCAGAGCACAGTGCGCGTGTGCAGTGTATAGTTATCAGAACAGAAAAGAGAAGGTACCATTGAGAGAACTCTTAGTTTTAAGCCTCTTAAGTTTACTTAAATTTATAATAAAGACAAATTGCTGGTTGACTGAAATATAGCTAGGTGCAATGCAAACTAAAAAAAAAAAGATCCAAGTAGTGTGTCTTCTTTTAACAAGATCATGGCTGTTACAAATGAATTTCTTAGCTAGGTCCAAATAGATATATTTAATGTTAGCCTAAGAAAGTTTAGGACTGTACTAAATTAAATTCACTAGATATACAGGTGTGTTTTGTTTTTGTTTTTAATAACTCTACATGTAACTACACACAACTTGGGTAACTTTGGACTAGGTGTTTATTATAAATCTGAATTTATTTGTTATTGTTGCACAATTATATTGAATGATGCACCACCTACTGGTGTTCCTGTAAAATGATCTATATGAATTTTAAATTAAAAAAAATTAAAATTTATTTAAATTTAAAAAAAATATATTTTTGGGTGTGGTCCACAGTTATATTAGTTTTAATGTAGAGACCTCAGGTTAGGTATTAGTTATAATTAATTTGTATTTAAGTTTTTATTTTTTTTTAGAGACAAGGTTGAAGTTGTAATTAGCTATGGGCCCTATTGTAAATATTAGAATATCTTTTTTTTTTTTTTATACGATAACAGTAAATAAAATTCATGGTCTGGTCTAATGTTGCCAATTGGTCCAAAGTTACCCGATTTGACTGTACTATTAATTTTTTTATATTACCCAATAAATAAATTATACCTTATGGCTGCTTTCAAACAATTTTATGTGTAGTCACTTAGTTTTAAGTCAATTTTAAATTAGTGAGTTTAATAGGAATGTCAAATACAGTTTGTTCGCTATACTTATGCGGGTTTCGGATTAACAAAATTATGCAAATTAGTCATTGACAACCAGTTCCAATAAGTCTCTTTCCAAGAAATTAGGTAAAATTGCCCTAATGGTCAGATTTAAATTAAAATAACATTAAAGTAGGTACTAAATTTGTTACAAATAATTAATTAATCCGAAATCCGCGTAAGTATAGCGAACAGACTGTATTTGACATTCCTATTAAACTCACTAATTTAAAATTGACTTAAAACTAAGTGACTACACATAGAATTGTTTGAAAGCAGCCATAAGGTATAATTTATTTATTGGGTACTATAAAAAAATTAATAGTGCAGTCAAATCGGGTAACTATGGACCAATGGACAATATTAGACCAGACCATGAATTTTATTTACTGTTATCGTCTAAAAAGGAAAGATATCCTAATATTTACAATAGGGCCCATAGCTAATTACAACTTCAACCTTGTCTGTAAAAATAAAAAAATAAAAACTTAAATACAAATTAATTATAACTAGTACCTGGCCTGATGTCTCTACATTAAAACTAATATGGTTTAATCTTATCCGTAGCCTTTAAATTGTAAGAAATCAGTAATTTCTCTCGATGAAAATACTTTATAACTGCGGACCACACCTAAAAATATATTTTTTTAAATTTAAATAAATTTTAATTTTTTTTAATTTAAAATTCATATAGATCATTTTACAGGAACACCAGTAGGTGGTGCATCATTCAATATAATTATGCAACAATAACAAATAAATTCAGATTTATAATAAAAACCTGGTCCAAAGTTATCCAATTTGTCTGTAGTTACATGTAGAGTTAATTAACAAGAAATTTAAAAACAGAAACAAACAATCCTTTATATCTAGTGAATTTAATTTAGTTCAGTCCTCAACTTTCTTAGGCTAACATTAAATATTTCTATTTGGACCTAGCTAAGAAATTCATTGGTAACAGCTATGATCTTGTTAAAAGAAGATACACTACTTGGATCTTTTTTTTTTTAGTTTGCATTGCACCTAGCAATATTTCAGTCAACCATAAACTTAAGTAAACTTAAGAGGCTTAAAACTAAGAGTTCACCCAATGGTATCTTCTCTTTTCTGTTCTGATAACTATACACTGCATACGCGCACTGTGCTCTGCTTTAACACACTTTCACATCACTAATTCAAATGGTTTGGTTCTTCTGAGCCTTCTCATTAGGTATCGGTTGTCCAGGAACTGTAAAACTTCGATGATGACATGATCATGCCATCTTTTTTCATGTTTTTTGCGATGGTTTTCCTCTCTTCTTCGACTGTAGGCATTCTCAGATCTCTGTGTAGGTCTGAGTTTCTAACATACCAAGGGGCGTTTACTATTGCCCTTAATATTTTGTTCTGGAAACGTTGTATTATATTTATGTTTTACTGGCACACCCCCACAGCTGTATGCCGTAAGTCCATACTGGCTTCAGTACTTGTTTATATGTTAAAAGTTTATTTTCGATTGAAAGTTTTGACTTTCTATCCATCAACCAGTATAATTTTCTATATTTAATACCCAACTCTTCCCGTTTTTTTAATGTGTTCTTTCCACTTTAATTTAATATCTAGGTTCATTCCCAAGTATTTCGCCGAATTAGAATATGGTATTCTAGTATTATTTAATGTCACTGGTAGGTATTCTGATGTTTTATTAGTGAACGGTTTTAGTTTCGTTGAGCTTAATGCGTCATCTTTTTGTCCACTCATATATTTAATTGGTTGCATGTTGAAGTTTTCTGGTCAATTCTTCTATGGCCGATGGCAAGTATGGCCGTGTCGTCGGCAAATGTGGCTACTTTCACATTTTGCGTTTGTGGTATGTCGAAGGTAAACAACAGGTAGATAACTGGTCTCAGAACACTTCCTTGAGGTACCTCTGCTTTAGTTTCTTTAAGCTTGGAATATTCTTCTTCTTGTTTAACTCGGAAGATTCTATTCAAGTAAGATTTTAAGACGTCACAATATTGTCTAGGTAGAAGTTTATTTATTTTATATTCAAAGCCATCTAACCATACTTTATCGAAAGCCTGAGCTACATCTAGAAAGAGTGAGGTGCAGATCTTCTTTTCTTCTATTGTTTTCTCTATTTCATTCGTTATTCTGTGGACTTGGTCAATAGTGGAATGCTTGTTCCTAAATTCAAATTGGTGGTCAGGTATTATATTTTTACTGTCTATTAGTAGTTTCAATCTTTTTAGTAAAAGTTTTTCGAAAAGATTAGATAAAACTGGTAACAGTGATATAGGTCTATAGGACTTCACTTCATTTGATGGTTTTCCAGGTTTCAGTATCATTACAATTTCAGCGACTTTCCAGATGCTAGTCGAAATACAGCGTTTATTATATTAGTAAGTTTTACCACAGCTTTTCTTGGCAATTGTTTTAGTATTTCACCTGTAATCAGATCATACCCGGGTGCTTTCTTAGAATTAATATTTTCTTTGGTTTCCTTAGCTACCTCTTTAGGCGTTACCCTAGGAATTTCTACTATGTTTGTGTTTTCTTGTTTTAATCATTCGGTTGAAAATTTTTTTCGAGATGATCTGCAAAGATGACAACTTATTGTTTATTTGATCTTGCCCAGTTTCCGTTGTCTTCTTTTATTGGTGGAATATAGACTATTGGACGTTTAAGTCTTCTAGTCGCTTTTCACAGAGAGTAATCAGTATTTTTATCGTTCGTCAATTTTCTACTTGGATCTAAACTAAATAATTTTTTATTACTTGGGATTCTTAGATTAATCTTTGCCATAATAAAATTTAAATAGTTAATCAAATCACAATCTTTGTACTTAACATTATTTAATATAGAGTACAAAATATATCACAGCCTGTTCCTCTCTTCTTTGTTAAAGAGATTTAATCCTAAAGCTATCGAGTATATTTTTATATAAGATCTTATAAGGGTACGAGTATTTTTATGACATGAAGGTACCGTAAAAATATTTTTTGTACTTTTTCAATATGATCAATATGTGTGGTTCCAAGGGCATCCATATTTGTGAAACATATTCAAGATGGGGTCTTACTAAGGCATTATATAATCTGATTTTGGTGGTAATCCTAAATTTTTTTGTATTTCTGATTTAAAAACCAAAAGCTTTTATTGCTTTTTTAGTTGTGTAAGAAATAATTATTGAACTTCAAAGTAGACTAAAAGGCAACTCACAAATCCTTTACCTCATATTTTCACGATTTAATGTGACATCACAGATCGTGTGTCTAATGTAAAAAATTAAGAGGCTACGGATCCTTACAACTTAAAATATGCATATGTTTGTAAGTGTTAAATATACGGGTAAAAATGTTTATTTTTATTTACAACTATAATAAGAACCTATTAAAAAGATTAGGAGCAATGGAACATATTTCAACAAATTTCTATAGGTACACATATTTTTGATACCTGATAATCAAAAAACAATATATTTTTTGGAGTGGCAACAGGTTTATTAATACACAACTATGATTTTGTGACAAATATTTATATTATAATATTTATAATAAACATAATAGTTGATATAAGTCCTTTAAAAATAATATATTTTGATTTAATTGTTGAATTTATATATGAACAATTTTCCTTGTAGCGTTATTTATATTTTGCAGAGAACTATTGTGTTCTGCTTTTAGCTGACAAATCATGTACATGTAAATGGGTTGAATGTAGATAATGTTGATGTTTTTGCTGTTACTTCTGGCTGGGAATGCTGGACTGGGGGCTGGGACACCAACAAAAAAAAAACAAGGAAGCACAAAGTACTAGATCAATTTTTATCACTTATTCTCTTACAATTTACAACCATTCAAGTAACTAACATATTGGAAATACTTTACAAAAACATATTAAACATAAATCAGTCGAATGCAATGTATTTTCTTTTTATAGCACACCTTTTTAGCTTGATTATTTCTAGTACTCTATTTATTCCAATGTCCTCAAATAAACCGAGCAATAATACGTAACAATAAGGATAAAACACACACTGAAATGTATTTGTGGTATTTTTGATCTAAATCCACTATCAAAACAACAAATTTTCTGTTTTTAAGCTGTGAATGTATAACAAAAACTACTTCAAAAAAAATGTAAACAAAAGTTTGTATTTGGGTTGCCTGCGCATGGTAGCGAATTTTTAACCGGATTTATGACAAGTGATATCCCGAAAACGTCAGCGCCATTATATCTGCGCATCTTTTTCCCGCCTAGAGAGTGTCATTACTGCTAGAATACTTATACTGGGATACGATACAGCTGCCTGTTGCATTTATAGTACTTACATTATTAATTATTACAATGAGATCAGCTCCCTTTATGAATTGCAACTGGTGAGTCACCAAAATCCTCGTTTTGCCGCTCAAGTAGTCCTTTATGCATACGTCAAACAAATGCTTAGCGACTTTGGTATCTACCGCGGATAGCGGATCGTCCAATAGATAAATATCAGCTTCACTATAAATGGTTCTAGCTAGATTCACTCTTGCCCTTTGCCCTCCACTTAGAGATGTTCCTCTTTCTCCAACCAACGATTTGTCGCCGAAGGGGAATTGCTTGAAATCTGTTTCTAAAGAACATACCTTAACAACTTCGCGATACCTGCAATTTATTATTTAAAAAGTTGTCAATGAAATTATACAAAACTCAACATTAACGAGAATATTGTCAATAGACCTTTCCCGTTATTAATAATCTCTATTACTCAAATTCTCTATTATTCTATTACTCGCAAATTGTATTCCCGCTTAAAATCATCAAAATGTATTGTTGTTTCGTTTTCTACCCTGAGTTCCAATTACACATCCGCAAATGGCATTTTGTTTTTGCGTTTGATAGTATTGATAAGCGAGCCAGTGACACTTTTAGGTGTTATTTTCGAAAGGTAAAATTACAAATATTTTATTTATTCCTACTTTGTAGAACATGTAAATAGTTTGCTGTACAGCGATTGAACCCTCGACAATTACATTTTAAAAAAGCCTGTGTAGAAAATGAAGTGCAAACTTAAAAGTTTCAGATATTATTTACACCAAAAGTTAGTAGAAAAAAGTTTGCTGCCACCTACTTGAAATTAAGCTCTCATTAACTCTTGTTTACTGACAGGACATTTCACTGGTAGATCGATTGCAATGTATCTCCATATTTTTATCTTCTATGTAGTAAAAATCAACGCCAACTATTACTAGATTAATTTTGTTTACAAAAATCGAATTGCAAACATTCACGTAGTTGTTAAATTATTATGAATTTAATGTATTTTTCTCGTTGCAACTACTATAGTTGTCTAGTGTTTTTTCAGGAAAGTGAGCAATTAATTTTGAAGTGTGACAGTAGTGTAAAGCAAGCGTAGTAGACGTTAATACTAATTCATTCATAAAACGCATGCTGTCTCCTTCTTTCTAATGCGTTTTAATGGATTATTTGTTATTATTAGTCCAATCAAGGAAAGGACCAAAAGGGGATGTAGAGAATTTGTTCAGAAATTTGTTCAGAAACTTGTTCAGAAACTTGTACGAAAACTTGTTCAGAAACTTGTTCAGAAACTTGTTCAGAAACTTGTTCAGAAACTTGTTCAGAAACTTGTTCAGAAACTTGTTCAGAAACTTGTTCAGAAACTTGTTCAGAAACTTGTTCAGAAACTTGTTCAGAAACTTGTTCAGAAACTTGTTCAGAAACTTGTTCAGAAACTTGTTCAGAAACTTGTTCAGAAACTTGTTCAGAAACTTGTTCAGAAACTTGTTCAGAAACTTGTTCAGAAACTTGTTCAGAAACTTGTTCAGAAACTTGTTTAGAAACTTGTTCAGAAACTTGTTCAGAGTGCTTAAGGAGTGAACATACTAAAAGTCCTAACATCTAGGAGATGTGCCACAAAGAAGGTCCTTCTTTTGTGTTTTTCGCTTATATCTCGAAAACGAAAACGAAAACGAAAACGTATAGAAAAAAATTCCTATATTAAGTGATAGAATTATCTACCACTTTTATACACTTGAATTTCCAACCGTTCACAAGCTGCATCCTCCAAAAATATGAAAATTAAAAAAAAAAGACTTGCCTCACATTGTTCCACAATAATTCCTTTATAGCCTCTAAACTATTCATCTGAGAAAGAAATTCTTTTAAAGAAAGCTGTAGAGCATTAAATTCTCTTCAATATATATACATATCGTCGTTGATATTGCAAAATGTCGTATGTCCTCCCAAGAGATTATCGACGACATTGGCTTATCATCCCATCATACATTTCACAACTGTCTTTCAAAAGAATTAGTTATGAAACAGAAGAAATATGGGCTTCATGAATGTTAACTGATCATTAAAATCAATATCGGGTACTCACTTGTGAGCATCTTTTTAAAATGGATCGGCTAAAGAAGAAAAGTTTCTTAACAGTTTGTCACTATAGATGAACCATGGATCCACAATCATGAAAATTCAAAGTGGTTCCATCAGCTAGGAAGGTGATGCTTTCAATTTTTTGTGGTAAATTTGGTTGCCTTTCTAAATTATTACACTTAATTAATTTTTAATTGCGTGATGTGTTAAAAAAAACACTTCATAGAAAATTCCGTCAAGACAATGCTCCCTGTTATACATCTTGTGTTTCAGTGACTGCTATTCATCAAGTAGATTCCATTTTGTAAGGTAAGAAAATAATCCTTACCTTTGGCCATTCTGTCTGGAAATTATTAATGTATTTCGCTCTACAACCCATTGAAATGCCGACAAAAGGGACTCGGATATTCTCAGATGGAGATGCGTAAATTGCAGATGTCAAGATGAATTAATCAATAATTCTTGAGGAAAATTATATCGAAAAATAAACTTATTCTTGATAGGCTCATTTTATTAGAAATATATCAGTGGTAGAGCATAGGAATCAATCCTCCTGTATGTACATTAATACTCCGTTTTATCATTTTAATTTTTAAGATAAAACACTAAAAAAAGTATTTTAAACAAAATCAAATTAAATGAACAAGTAAAGCTTGTAGTTAAGATAATAAAAACTACATTAAAGATTTTGTAAACGTTAAATCATCGAGTTCAGGACATTCAGGAGCTTAATGTTTTCAAAAAAAAACTCGTAATTCTCACTCGTCGTATTGAGTTACACTAATAATATTTCAAAAGAATTATCGATAACGAGCCTATCACTTATTAAGTAAAATACTAACTTGCGTCGATCATAAGGCTTCCCAAACAGAATATTATCTCTCACATTGGACACGAACAACCAAGGTTCTTGGGACGCGTAAGCGATCGTTCCATTCACTCTCAATTTTCCAGACGTTATCGGCAATTCTTGGAGCAATAATTGCAAAATGCTACTTTTTCCAGCTCCTACGTTTCCAACTATACAACATAATGTGCCTGATTTGATATGTAAATTGACGTTTGCTAAAGTCGGTACTAAATTCGGCTCCCAACTAGCTGTTATGTCTTGTATTTCGATGTCTCCAGCGTCTTCTTTAAGCCCTTTCTCGTAATTAGTTTCTTCTAAACTTGTAATTTGGTTGGAGTTAGGTTCTTTTGAATTTGTGGTATGGTTGGTTAAACTTTTGCGTTCTATTTCATCGAGTAACAGAAATTCTTCGATCCTAAAAGATAAATTAAAAAATATTCCTCTAACTTTATGGAAATCCTAATCAAAATTAAGTTTATTTTGCTCTTATAGATATTATACCATTAAGGTGACTGTAAACAATACGGACACAACAATTTTTACTATTTTCGCTATAATTTTAATGCAAATGATACGACTTACTATTTTAGATCAATTTTTTTTATCAAATAACCAAAGTTATTATAAAAATATTGTGTATTAATCAGAAAATTCCACACCTGTAATTTTAAACCAATCAAAATACGTGTTTTTGACAGATCACCATGGCAACGGAGGTATTTTAGTGGAAATTTTTTTCTCGTGGGGTACCCAACAGCGAATTATACTGGAAATTTTTTGACGTTTACAATAACAGACCATTTTTGACAGACTGGTTTTTATTTGTTCACATAATTGGTTTAGTTTTGATACATTTTAGTTACAATGCTAAGGTGTTTTCTATATTCTTCGGCCACTTCTTTTCTTCTTAATGGCGAAAATGCAGGACTTTGGATGCTTTGAATTATGTGTCTATGTCTAATAAAATATATATAATATTTAGACACTAATTTATTCACCTTTTTCCCATTCAGCACTTTGAATTTTGCGTAGTTTGGGTGCAAATATTCGTGGACAATTCGGAACAAATTTTCGTTTTTCAAGTTGGAGCCACAATCCTCTATTAATCCGAGTAAGTAAGTCATGGTGCAATGATTGATCATTACATCAGACAATTTCACGCATATTTTGCATAGCGTATGATTTTCAAATCGATTCATTTTTAAACAAATAGGTAATTTTGTTGGTTTTACTTGCTGTGCAATATTCTTTATCGCAACAAAACGCGAGTTATTTAATGTTTTGAACTGTCAAAATACAATGATCACAGCCTCCTACGATTGATGCTTGCTGACGCTGGTTATGAATTTCATACCATTTTAAAGCGCTCATAACGCATGTTAATAAAAACGCAGAAAAACAATTTTCTACCACTTGTAGTTATTCAAAACTTACGTAAAATTAAAGAATATACTATTTTCTATATTCAAATGGAATTCCCATGCAACTACAATGAGTAGAAATAAGCAATTTGAAGGCCTAAATAATTGCAGCGAAACATTTTTTTACGTCGGGGCGCTTGACAACTTCAAAACTGAAATTATATTCGAGGTTAGGGTCTCACTTAGTTACCATGACAACTCAACAATCAAGGCGACAACACCTTTTATGTTTCACTGGTCACTTGGAGAAAATAATTTGCATTGTTGAGAAACGAAAAATAAATTTTAAAAATATTTAATTTTCAACCATAATTCGGCGTGGAATTTTCTTACCGAATACCACGCGAGGTCAAATTAATATCAGGAAATTTTTTCTCGCTCATGAATATTTTTAGAAAATTTTCATAATTTGACCTCTAGTGGTATTACTAGTGAAAATAAACAATTTTTTTTTATACACAGGGTGTCCCGAAAGTAGACGGTCATATTTTAACAGCGTAATCTACATCTTAAAATAGGAGTAAAAGTTCATATAAACATAGGTCCGAGAACGTTTGTTTTCCGAGATACAGGGTGTTAAAAGTGAAGTCCTGATGATACACTTTTGTAAATACTTCCTAAACCTTTAAAGATAACAAGTGAAATTTGGTTCAAATGCTTACCTTTTTACGCTCTATTTAATGGACTAAACCCCAGTTTTTAATCATCTTCATAGGTGGGTAAATTAGGGGGGGCTTAGGGTAAAATTGCCCTAATTTTTTTTTGTTGGCAGTTTTTAACATTTTTGACTATAAAATTTGGAAAACCAATGTTTTCTTTATAATAAAGCTACTATTGTCGCTAGGACGCACCATTTTCAAGAGAAAATTATTGAAAATTTCATGATAAGTTGATGTTATCTTATTTGAAAGTGTAAACAATAATTAGTAGGCCTGAGAAATCAGAAATTTAATTTTTTTTTAACTTTGGAAAACCGGTGACTAAAGAAACTTTAGAAAATATTTACAAAAATGTGCCATGACGACTTCACTTGTAACACCCTGTATCTCAAAAACGAAACGTTTTCGGACCTATGTTTATATGAACTTTTACCCCTATTTTAGGATGTAGATTACGCTGTTAAAATATGACCGTCTAATTTCGGGGCACCCTGTATAGCCTCAATTTTTTTAAAAAAACCTCTATTATTATCTACAGCCATATTGTCAATTCTTTAAGTGCCTGCATTTGATAAAATATCGGACAATCGATAATACTATCAATGGTAACGTACGGCAATCGAGTGTCGATTCCATAAAAATTATTAAATTATTTCGTTTCCTAAAAAACTCTTTTAGATTTAATTTCCAACCATATTCGGCGATTTATACATTCATTTTGATTGAATTATAGTACATATTGACTAAATATTAATATTACATCATCTCTAAAATACTTTTCGAAAACTTTTAAACTTAATTAATTTTTGTAATCCAAAAGTTTTTAAACTTTTTTGAAATATGAAATTGTCAACCAACGCCTTTAACAATTAAAGAGGATAGCTAAATTCGTCCAGTTTCTGTTGAGTCAGCCGTGACGTGACGTCGCCCCCTGGATGCTTTCATTTAAATATACATCGATATCATACATCTTTTTTTATTCTATTTATTTTTAAACTAAAAGGTATTTCAGATATTCAAAACATCATTTTTAACCAGAGAAAAAATTACAAACATCCCAAAATTACAGGAGTAAGTAAAATAGGTAATAAATTTGAATACTGCCGCCCTGTTATCTAAAAATATTTCTCAAATAACACATATTTAAGAAATTTGACCTGCTAGTTATAAGGTAGTTAGAAGTCGAAATTTATATACAAAGTGTACAAAAATTAATGCAACTTACTAATAAAATTAAATTTCTGATAAGTTCACAAAAAAGTTTTAAATAAATGTTTTATGAAATTATTTAAGTTATCAGTATAAAATAATAGGAGATATACTAGGTTAACCATTATTCCTAATTCAAGCAAGAATATATTTTTACGTACTGTAATAAACTTAAAATAAAACCATTAAAACTGCATTCTGCTAACTTTATTACCTCGAATACAGGGTGTACTATTAAAAAAATATCCAGTAATAGTGTGCCTAGTATATTTCTAAGTGACTTATAACGATATAACTTGATTTCTGTCATAAAACTTTTATTAGAATTCAAAAAATAAAAAAGTTATCTGACACAAAAAACGCGCTCGTCTTTCTACATCCCAAGAGAGAACGCTCTTGGCCGACGTTTTGAAATTCACGCTCGTCCTTTTTACATTTACACTATAAGAGCACGCTATGCTTGTCCCGCTCACGTCCTAACCGCTACAGAAACGACCAAGCGCTTTATTTTCCCACCTACATCATAAGAGCAAGTTACGCTCGTCCCACTCACGTCCTAACCACTACAAAATACAGCGGATGAAATCAATGAGGTGTGAAAAGACCGTTGGTGGGACGAGCGTAAATCTTATAGTGTAGGTGTAAAAAGGGCGCGCACGCGAATTTCGAAACGTCGGCTGGGCGCGCTCGTTTCGCTCTCTCCTTCTTCTAGTAGTGAGGCCGTTGTTGGGATAAGCGTAGCTAACTGCCTCTTATGGTGTAGGTGTAAAAAGGACGCGCACGGCTGACTTTTTAAAATTCGCGCGCGCGAATTTCAAAACGTTGGCTGTGCGCGCTCGCTTTGCTCGCTCCTTCCTCTAGTGATAATACCGTTGGTGAGACGGGCGTAGATGACTCTTATGTTGTAAGTGTAAAAAGAACGCGCATGGCCTACGTTTCAAAATTCGCGCGCGAATTTCGAAACGTCAGCCGGGCGCTTTCTTCCTTCCTCCAGTGGTAAGGCCGTTTTTGGGACAAGCGTAGCTGATTATTATGGTAAAGGTGTAAAAAGGGCGCCCTTGCTTCGCTCGCTCCTGCCTCTAGGGGTAAGGCCGTTGGTGGAACGAGCATAGCTGGCTGTTATGATGTAAGTGTAAAAAGGGTGCGCACAAATTTCAAAACATCGTCCAAGCGTGCTAGCTTCCAAGGTAGTTGGGACGTGGTAGGACGAACGTGCTTTCATGGTGTAGGTATGTCAGGAAACGTTAATATTTTGTTTATGAAATACATCAAGTCATCAATGCAAGTCAGTTAGAAATATATCGGTTGCACCATTACTCAAAAATAATGAATGGATGGCTAATGGCTAATAAAGTTAACACAACGTTACTTTAACGGTTTTATTTTAAATTTAATTTAGTACGAAAAACTATTTAAAAAATATATTCTTCTGTAATTTATGAAAACTAATCAACCCAGCATATTTCTTATTAAGCATGAGGGTGCATTTCTTATTAACTTAATTTAACTTGATTTATTTCATGAAACTTTCATCAAAACTTTTTTTGTAAACTTATTAGGAATGTACATAATAAGTTAAGTTAATTTTTGTTCACTCTGTATATAAATTTCAACTTTATGATGTCAAATTTCTTAAATATTTAAATTTATTACCTTCTATTTACATATTTATTTACTTCTATAATTTTCAAATGAGTTAAATTTTCTCTCTGATAAAGTGATCTTTTGAATATCTGAAATATCTTTTAGTTTAAAAATAAATAAAATAAAATAATAATAATATATTTATTGCTTTCAAAAAACGTATATTAAAAATAAGGTGTATTGATGTACGTTTTAAATGGAACGACTGAAAGTTTTCAGGGAGGACGTCACACCGCGTCGAACTCAGTAAAAATTGAATGAATTCGGCTATCCTCTTTAGTTAATTTAGTCATTTACTTCGGTTGACAATTCATTTGTCAGACTAATTAATTCTTTTGTTTGAAAGTTTAAAAACTTTCGGATAACCCACAATAATTATTGTTTATTACTTTATAGATGAAGTAATACTAATATTTAGTTAATATGTACAATTTAATCAAAATGGATAAAAAAAATTGCTGGATGTGACTATGGAAATTAAAAGTTAAGTTTTTCAGGAAAAGCAACGAAATAAATTAATAAAATTAGTGCTTTTTAAAATGTTTGGAAATGTTACGGAAAAAATAAGATACTTTGTGAGGTTTCCGGTTGTATATTTGAAAAGTAATATTTTTCTTAATGCATAAAATGTAAGTTTAAAAAAAATTCGTTAATTAAGAAAAATATATATTCCCAATAATTACCTTTTCATGCGTGATATGAGCATTGTTTCAATATGTATTGGATTTATAAAAGTACCTAATCGATTCTGTCAATTATTATTCTAGATTTTGTTATAAATTGAAATGTTTGGCAAGCTTGATTATGCTTTACACGAAAATCAAAAAATCTTAGGTTATAATCACCAAAATTCGCAAGTTTTAACTCAAATGTCTATTATTTATGCGTAATCCGTAATTTTTTTTTGTTATTTTATATATACGCTTAATAATATTATCTAGTTCAAATTTTTTTTCGAAATTCTTGTGTCCATTACGTTTACAGGCACCAAAATGTAATAAATATGGACAAAAATAATTGGTACAAACCTTCCTACCGATACTTTAGCTTCATTATAAAATGTTAATCCTCTCGGAAAGCAAACACACATTGTGTATATGACTGTATTAAATAATTGAGCTACGGAAAATACAATTTCTCCAGATACTGGATTCCCGGCTAATGCAAATGTTACAATAGTTACGTAAAGACTTAACCTCTCCATAAACACACCCATAGCAGATAAGACACCGTTTACAAAAGAAGTTTTTGTAATAAAACTCACTTCTGAACTAAAAAAAAATATATTATTAAAAAGGTAATTTAGAATAATATGTATAATTCTAATATTACTAATAAAAAACTGGTAACACTGTTCATAAACTAATACGTTGGCCAACTCCACGGTAACCAATGAAATTATGCGTACGAATAAGTCACCAGTGTATCCTAGTACGGTAAGTAAATTTCCTATGAGTTTCATTTCCATATTCTTATGTTTTTCTTTTTGTGTTGCGTTAAATAACTAATAATTCATAACAGTTTTATTAGTTTTCTATAATTGACACATATCTTCTCTTCTTTGCTTTTTAGATGCAGTTTGAGTTTTTAAAAAATTAAGTATTTTGTTTAAAAAATCTTTTTATAATACTAATTTACCAAGCATTTAGGAATAAATGAACATTTCTTTGAAAGAAACATAAAAAAAAGATTTAATTTTAGTCCCCAGTCCAGATTCGATCCAGATTTAATTTTAGTCCCCAGTCCAGATTCGATCTCAGGCCTCTTACATCTAAGACAGATGTCATATCTTCATCTCCATCTCTACATTTAGGACTTTAGTTTTAATACTCGTAATTAAATTAGTTTCATATAGTTTTATTCAAATTAAGGATTTTTCCAAATGTGGACCAAATAAAAATGCTATTATTTATAAATTCTATACAAAAATAACTCATTTTAATGTATATCTAAGGATACATTTAAGGATATAGTCGTGATAAGCGATCTAAAACAAATTATTTTGGAGAAATCTGGTTTTCAAGAAGGAAGGCAGAATTTAATTTATTTGATGATTTTGAGAAATATTTTATGGAATATTATTGTGGGAATTTACCCAGGCCAGTATAAGGGATAAGTAGTAATCAGAAAATTTTGAAGAAAAGGCGAAGGATGCAGTTAAATGCAGATAAAAGTAACGTTGTATTTGTTAGATTAAATGAATTCATGAAAGATTCACAGTGAGAAGTAACAAAATTCCTAGGACACCAACGGAAAAGAAAGAAGAGAGTTGCACGAAGCTGTTAAGGAGTTCAGAAGGTGGCAACATTGAAAATAACGAAAATAACGCAGAGAAGAAAGAACAATAAAAAAATTAAATTGATTTCGAGAATCTGATTGATATTATAAATTTTTAGTCGTCATTAGTAAAACCCGACCCAAATGAGTTTTTCATGGAAAGGAGCATCTGGTTGAACAGCGTTTCCAAATCAATATGAATCTACATTAATATAAGTGACAAGAGTTTATAATATCCAAAAACTAATGGCTCCAATTTTGGCAATATATTCCAAATTTGAAAACAAGAACGCTTCTTTAAGTACCTAATTAAATATCTTACCTCCTAGCCAACTTGACCATCGTTTCAAAAGGCTTCTCCCAAGCGTACATTTTTATCACTTGAATTCCTGAAGTTACTTCATTCATCAGTTTTACTCGTTTGTCTGTTCTAATTGCAATTTGGTATCGCAACTTTCCTTGCATCGTGGTCATATAAACTGTAAAACATTAAAATATATTACTTCGTAGAAGTAAGAGGAACATAGGAACATAGTACCTTATTCTCGAAAAAAAAAAAAAAAAAAAAAAAAAATAACAGAAAAACATAAAATAGGATAAATTTACAGTGATTGGGCGTATACATTCAGTCAAAAAGTCTCACCAAATTTCAACATTAGCCGAAAATGTATATTATATTGCGGACGTAAAATTAAATATTATTTAAAAAATTCCTACAACTAGACGAATACAAATTGTGTTTCAGGACTACCTTACGTATCCTCGGGACAGTGATTGATAACAATAATTTATCGATCGACAAAGCAAAAAACACATAGGGCCAAAAAATGAGCCATGGGACACCATAGACCGCCAGGGACTTCAATAGTAAGGGCTTTAATGAATGGTATTTCCCTTGCGGCTATGTAAATCAAAGCCTGATAGAGGCAGGATGGATCTCTATTTGAGATACTCCAAAAGTGGGCCTGATGGGCGTCCACTTTTATATCGGGTGTTCTGTCATCGATCATTTTAGTGTTTTCCATATAGGACCGTGTAAAGTACATTACGGAATTGGAATATTAGGGAAAGACGTGACGCACAGTGAGGTAAATCTACACTTCGGTTTTTACACATATTCTATACCTCGCGGAACTCTTCGTGCTACCGCCGTACTCTCTTGCATTAGACAATGCGTAATTCCGTATTAATCCGTATCTCCGTAGAAATGTTTGATTGTATATTAGGAGGCTAACAAATAGACCAAAGTACTTCAAACTTGTATTTTACCCTTCATGGAGACTAAAATCTTTACCCTTTAGCGGTTAGAAATTACACATTGGAAAGCACACATAATAATAATGTTAAGCCTGAAAACGGCACATAATCGAAATTTCCGGCTGTACAAAAGAACAGCTGTTAAATAAAAAGTATTCGTAATTCATCTCTGTATTACTTTGTTCTTCCTCTATTACAGCTACATTAAACTCTAAATGTAAATTTGTGGTTTACTGAAATCACTTCTAGACAAAATTTAGGTCAAGGTTATGTATATTTAAAAAACTAGGTTAGGGTCCGGTTTGTAAAGTTTAAAATCGTATTAAAAATAAAGTGTTTCCAAAACCATACTCCCAGCCCTCACTATCAAAAAGGTGAACACCTCTGCTGAATTTCAGCTATTAATTTCTATTTCACTGATTGTAGGAATTTTTCAACAAATATTTATTTTTACGTCCGCAATATAAGCATTTTCGGCCCATGTTGAAATTTGGAGACTCTTTTTGACTGAATGTATGTCCAATCACTGTAAATTAAAACTTTCAATTTATCCTATTTTAAGCTTTTCTGTTTTTTCGAGAATAAGGTAATATGTTCCACTTGACTTTAAGGGTAATAAATAACATTTATAAAACTTTTTAAATACAGGGTGAATCCTAAGTTGATACTATTCTATCTGTATATGGAAGACATTAAAATGAATAACTTTTTCAAAACAACTAAAAAATGTAAACCTTACTATAATTTATCTTAAAATATATCCAATACGGTCCTGTATAACTGTATAACTTTGGTCAAAAAAATATTGATTACATTATCCTTGTACACAAAATTTAACTCCGCGGGGAAATGTTCAAGTTCAACGTGAAAGGGTTACAATTGATTTTCCCACAGTTGAATATACTTTTCTTTGACTTATCCCACCTGGAATACAAATACCTGCGCACTCATCTAACAACAAATCCAGAAATTATTATTTAAAATGTGTTCGTCAAAACGATTTATTTTTGAATTTACCTTATTTATTTATTTATTTATTTATTTATTTTTATAAACTGTTCTACAGGAAATTCCCAATTAAAGAATAGGTAAAATATGACAAAACACATATATCAGCAAAATACAATATAAAAAATTATAATATAAAACTTACAAAACAGAATATAGATTTAAGAAAGAAAAAAAACAGCCTATTTAAAACAACAAAATAATCACAAAAGCAAATGTTTTATGTCCAAAATTCTAATGTTAAATATATCCAACTCAGAGTTTATGCTGTTGCAATTACTACACATGACATATAAAGGAAATTTGCTTAAAATGTTGGTGCGAGGAGTGGTCAAATAAAAAGTATCAATGCACCTAGAAGTTTGGCGGGGAATCCTAAAATTTAACATATGCAGCAGGTCTTTACAATTTATTTTGTTGGTTATGACTTTGTGCAGTGTAACCACTGAAAAATACTTACGCCTTGCTTCAAGACTCGAAAAACTATGTCTTACTAACAGTTCGTTATGTGGGGTGCCAATTGGAGGATACACTTGGTCTTCTCGGAAACTTAAATATTTGAGAAACCGTCTTTGAAGAGCCTCTAACCTGGTAACGTGTAGCTGGTAACTGGGACTCCATATAACCGAAGCATATTCCAGTTTTGAGCGGATAAACGCATAATAAAGATACTTTAGAGTACTTGCATTCTTAAAATCCCGACAGTTCCGAATTATGAATCCGTACATGCGGCTTGCCACAGTTAATATACCGTCAATGTGGTCATTAAAGGATAGTGCTGAATCAAAAGTAACGCCCAAATCCACAAAGTTATTCGGTCTGCATAATAAAGTGTTGCCTATACGGTAATTGTAAGCAATTGGATCAGAGCTTAGTGAATAAGACATGACATTACACTTAGAGGGGTTCAAATTAAGGTTATTTTCCCGACACCATTCGATAACTCTTAGAAGATTTTCAGATAACCTTTCACAATCTGCGACGTTCTTAATTGTTGTGTAAAATTTAAAGTCGTCGGCGTAAATTAAAGAGTCAACATTAACTACATCCACGATGTCATTCACGAAAATATTAAACAGTAACGGGCCTAGATTTGATCCCTGAGGAACACCGGAGGTGACAGAATACTGATCAGACCTAAATCCATTTAATTGAACGTATTGTGTTCTGTTGGTGAGATATGATATGAGAAGCTGAATAAGATTGTTTGAAAGTCCAAAAGGGGCTAGTTTTTTTTACCAAAATACCATGGTCAAGCTGATCAAATGCCTTTGTCATGTCCGTATAAATAACATCTGTCTGAGTTCGGTTGTCAATGTTTTCTGAAATATACTGCGTAATTATGGAGAGATTTGTAACTGTTGAACGACCTTTTACAAAGCCATGTTGTTGATCCGATATTATGTTGCGGACGTGTTGGTAAACTGTACCTTCCAGCAACATTTCAAACACTTTACTAAAGTTACAGATGATAGAAATAGGCCGATAATTTTCCACCTCAGTTTTATTTCCTTTTTACTTTCCTATCTGTATACAGATATAAGGAAAGTATAGGAATCATGATTTTTTTCGACCTCGAGTTTTCGACGGATTTTTACGTTTTGAGGTCCCCTGAATCCGTTTTGACTATTTTCGCGATGATGTCTGTGTGTGTGTGTGTGTGTCTGTGTGTGTGTGTGTCTGTGTGTGTGTGTCTGTGTGTGTGTGTGTCTGTGTGTGTGTGTGTCTGTATAACGCATAACTCATGAACCGATACACAGAAAAACACCAAATTTTAAACCTAAGCTTTGTTTCAGCGTCTAATGAGCAAATTAGATTTTGGGCAGAGTCGGAACATTTGGGGGGGTACTTTATAGGTGGTCATTTTTATATTTTATGAAATATATCTGTTATTTACGTTTGGAGAAGAAAATTCTTTAAATAAAAGTTACTTCTCATATTATTATCTATAATTTTTGTTCTATACAAAATTTTCCTAAAATGGTCCGTATTCGAGAAATTTGACAAAATGTAAAAAAAATATTTTTTTATAAAAATTGTTCAAATAAAAGTTGTTTGTAATATAATTCTCTATAATTTTTATTCTCTACATAATTTCTCTAAAATGGACCGTATTCGAGATATTTGAGAAAATGTGTAAATTTCGAATTTTGAAGAAAACTCAAAAACGGATAAAGAAAAAAACATTAAATTTTAAACTTAAGGTTTATTTCGGCCTGACGTGAAACGATTAGATTTTGGACAAAGTCGGAACATCTGGGGGGGTACTTTATGGGAGGCCGTTTTTATATTTTATGGAATATATCTGTTATTTATGTTTGAAGAGGAAAATTGTTCAAATAAAAGTTACTTCTAATATTATTATCTGTAATTTTTGTTTTATGTAAAAATTTCCTAAAATGGTCCGTATTCGAGAAATTTGACAAAATGTGCAAAATTCTGATTTTTATTATGAAAGTTTTTGAAATAAAAGTTGTTTGCGATATCGATCTCTATAATTTTTGTTTATACATGATTTTTTTTAAAATGGACCGTAATGAAAAAATTGTAGGAAATTAAAATTTTTCAGTATTTTCGTTTTCCATGAATATCTATAGAAAAATGTTTCGAGGTAGATGTATGTGGACAATGTATATATTTAGTTTATCCTCTAAACATTTATATAACTAGATAGGAAAGTCATGTGTTGGACACATCAGATTTTTTATATATGGGACAAACCTTAGACTCTTTTCACACTGACGGTATGGTTTTAGTCCGGATGCAGGTATTTATAAGTATAGTTAAAGGAGAAGCCAGTGCTACAGCACAGTCTTTTAGAAGGAAAGCAGGAATATGGTCAGGCCCCGTAGTCCGCTTAGGCTTTACTGATTTTAAGGTATCTAATACTTGGTTTTCTAAAAAGCTAGTAATGTTTAAGTGATACATGTGGCTTTCGTTTATCGGGACATTTGTGGCTGAAGACTGCACATAAGATTTACTAAAAAAGGTAGCAAAGCCATTTAATATATCTGATGGATTAAGAAGAAAGTTACCTTCATAGATCATGGTATTACCAACTTTATTGGAGCATTTTTTATTACTGATGTAAGCCCAAAATTTATTGGAATTAATCGTTATTTCTGATTCAGCTTTTTCAAGATATTGTTTATAGGCTCTATTGACATCAACTTTACCTTGACTTCTTATGCGTCTAAACTCCTCAAAAGCATGAATATCATTCTCTCTCTTATACTGTCGCCAGAGTTTGGATTTTTTGCGAATTAAATTTATAATAGCGCCATTATACCAGGGAGGTTAATTTTTCTTACTGTGGACTGTATACCTAGGTACACATTTATCTAACACATTGTATAATTTCCCATAAAAGTATGTACAGGCATCATTAACTTCATAAAAGCTTTCCAGGAAAGTCCAGTCAATTTTGGAAATCATGTCATACAACATCGGAAAATTTGCCTTACGAAAGTTATAACAATTTATGAAAGATGACTCTAAATCATTTCTAATATTTAGTTTTTCTACTGATTTTTAATGTAATGTCCAAAGCTGGATGATGACAATCTTCCTTTATCAACGGATCTACGGATTTTTCAACAAAACAGGAATTATTAAAGTACACTAGGTCTAGTAGCCTATTATTTTCATTTAAAACAAAGTTATTTTGTTTTAAATCAAAGACATCTGCAAAATTGTTTAATGCATCTAATCTTGCATTCGACTGAGAGTTGGTAAGAAACAAAGCATATTCCGATATATCGAAATCACCTAAAAACAAAATTTTATTTCCATACAAAAAATCCAAAGACTCTAGCGACTCAAAAAGGCATTCGTATTCCTCAAAATGTGTTCTTGGTGGAATATATACATTATAAATATAAATATGTCTAAGATTTAATCTAACTTTTATTAACACGACGTCAATGAATCTAAATAGCGGCCAAGAGTATTGCTGCAAATCAATACGAGTAGAAATATACTGTTCATGAACCGCGATCAACACCCCACCGCCTCCAGTTTTACTCGCGTATCAGGGACAACACTAATGATTTGTAATTGCTGTGGTGGGAGGTATTTGTGTAAATGAGCCGTGTTTCAGATAATGGAGTGAAAGACTTAAGTATTTTTCTGTAGTATTTTATAAACCTTAGAAGCAAATTTTACATACATGAACAAATAATAATAATAATGCCGTGACAACAAGAAGATGAAGCAGAGACTTCTCGTAGAAAATTTCAATCCATACCTGGCTACGCCGACTGGCATAAACACAACCACCAACCGCCTGGACACAGCTCACCTACTCTGTCATGACATGAGCACTACAAATCATTAGTGTTGTCCCCGATACGCGAGTTCGAGTTTTATCACTAACTGTGAGATTTCTATCTGTTCTAAAAACATTAAAATCTTTAGTAAACAGTTCCGAATTATTGACCGACGAGTCCAACCAAGTTTCGGTAAAAACAAATATTTTGAAGTCACTTTGTGTGATAGAATTAAACATTTCTGTGGTTTTTGTTTTCAGACCACGAGTATTTTGATAAAATATTGATATTTCATTCTTACTTTTATTCATAGATTTATATGTAGGTGTGTTTACGGGGGGCAACAGAAAATTTGTCGATGGTTGCTAGTTAGAGGATAAGTTTGATCTCAACTTTTTTAATGACTGGATGTATGCCGAACATTTTTCTTTTTCCCACACAGCATGATTAGTAGCTACACCGGGATTATTTAATTTTACACAATTTGTACATTTTTTCGGTTGATTTGCAGTCGTTCAGTTCGTAGCCTCCACCGCATATTGGACATGAAACGGATTTCGTACATTTTTGTGAAGAGTGGTTAAATTCATTTCATTTAAAGCACCTGTACACCTCAAGCGCATCAAACACAGCACAACTATCATAAGCAACAAACATGTTACCTGCCTTTAAAGCTCGTTCATAAGCTAATTTATCTAGTTGTAAGACAGCTTGAAATATTTTAACATTTTTCTTTGTTGAACAGATAAACATGCTATTGACCTACTAACGAATTGAAGCCACTGCATTACAATATTCGTGATTATATTCGTAAAACAAAACAAAAAACAGATGAACACAATTTTTCGTAAACATGTTCAGGCCTAGTTTAAATCTATTAATTACTTTATATTTGTTATTTTTGAGTTTTTTTTTTTTCAAAATCGTTATTTGGAAAATATGTTCTATTTTAACCACTTCTATAAACAGTAAAAAAAGGATTAAGTTTGGATTTACTTTGTGTATATGTATACCTACTCTGAATGAATACGGATCCAATCACAATGGCCATTCCACCTGCAGTGGCATAAAGCCCAACGCTGCGGTACAACATGTAAGACGAAATAACACCATTGAAAGGCATAATCCAGATAAAATGTAAAAAGTAAGACGCCAGATCAAATCGCTGCACATCATTGGACAATAAATTTACTAGCTTACCAACAGTTGTTTGTCCTAGAGAAGAATGGTTCAGCTTCATCAGCTGTAAAATAAAATAATCACATTTTCAAAAGTTTTAAACGTTATGGAATTTATAAAAAAAACCTATTTGATTCGATTCTAGAAAAATGTTGCATTCAACATAAACAAGAACATAGGCGCCGAATCCCTGGGGGCTCTGGGTGCGTAATCCTCAAAACTCCAGCAATTCGACATTTGACAATACTGTTACCCAGCACTCTGCAATAGCCTGCGGCTAATATAGAAAACGTACGAATAGAAAAAGAAGTGGAATGCTACTCATCGCCCAACAGTGTGCTGCGGTCGTCATAAGTAAAAGTACAAGTAAAAGAAGATAGAATAGTCTAGAAATGTCCAGAAATGTCATTACCCGTCAAGAATATTCTAGACGACAGTTCGCGAAGGTTCAAGAAGGGCCAAGCAAGCTATATAAGGATGATCCTAAGTCAGTTTTCAGTTTTATGATAGACGTTACACGTTGATGTTATCAGTTGCATTGTTATTGTTAAAGTTCAGTTGAAATAAATTGTGATACCAAAAACCAGCGTAACATTGGTGACAGCGGTAAGATATAATATAAAAGTTCATGGTAAATACTAGATCCACTGAGTACGAAAAAGAAATGGATAGTTCAGGCTCACCAGCATGGTTTTTGAAGATGGAAGAGGAAAAGGAAAGGCGTAGGAAGAAAGAAGAGGAGTAAAAGAAAAGGCGTAGGAAGAAAGAGGAGGAGGAAAAGGAAAGGCGTAGAAAGGAAGAAAAGGAGGAAAAGGAAAGGCGTAGGAAAGAAGAAGAGGAAAAGTAAAGGCGTAGGAAGAAAGAAGAGGAGGAAAAGTAAAGGCATAGGAAGGAAGAAGAAGAGGAGGGAGAAAAAAGAGAAGAGAGGGAGGAGAGGCATAGAAAAGTGGAGGTAGAGATTATAGATGCTTTGCTACAAATCCAGGAAACCTTCAAGCAAGAGGTTGATCAGCTTAAAATTAGAATAGATCTGTTAGAACAGCAGCAAGAGAATCTAAAAAGTAATTAAGAGAACTTAAAAACGAATTTAGAACATCAACAAGAGCAGGCTAGAGTGGAGTTGAAAAGGCGAATTAGAGCTGAAATGGCTGAGTTAGAGAAAAGAAGTTGTGGCCAAGCTTCCGTAAGCATCATTAAAACTGAAAATACTACCTCGTCCTCATCTATAACCGAACCAAGCCATATCCAAAACCCAGTTTCGCAAAGCCATACTAGCAAGACCATTAAGCCACCCACGTCTGACGGTCAGACAACATGGGAAACATATCGACTCCAATTTGAAGCTGCAGCTAGAGCCAATGGCTGGACTGAGAAAGAGATGGCGACTTCATTGATAGTGTCGCTGCGAGGACAGGCAGCAACCGTTTTACAGTTATTTCCCCAAGAAAAACCCAGTTATTTATCTCTCGTCAAAGCTTTGGAGACAAGATATGGCCGGCAGTATTTAAAACGGGTATTTCAAAGCCAGCTAAAAATTCGTAGTCAGAAACATAATGAGAGTCTACAGGAATTCGTTGCCGATAAAAGAAGATTGATTCATCTGGCCTATCCACAGGCGCCCAAAGATTTCCAAGAACAAATCGGAATAGAGGCATTCATTGATAGATTACAAGATGCGGAAATGCAGCAAGTCCTACGTCTACAACATCACAAGACGCTGAGGGAGAAACTGATTGCAGCCCAGGAATATGAAGCGGTAAAACTCCTATCCAGATCTTCTCGTGCAAAAGTGAGGGAAATTAAATCCCAGGAAAGTGAGGAGGCCAATACTAATGCTATTCCCCAAATCTTAAATATCCTACGAAATATGGAACGATACAGCCAAAATGGAAGCAGGAGATGCTTCAATTGCGGGAGAATCGGGCATCTTCAAAGAACCTGTAGAAGCATGGCTCATTCTATAAATCGAGAATCAGTGAAAGAGACCGGAAAATCATATAGATCAATTTTCCCAAGCCCCTAAGATCAACAAGAATTAATTACAGCAGCTATGCATCCCGAAGAAGCCAATCACCCATACTGAGTCGGCTTTCTAATAATAACACGAAAGTAGAGCATCGAAGAGGTCTCCATAACAACGCAGACATTCTCTTCGGGCAACCCCGTTTAGAGGAACAATGCTGGTATGGTAAAAGGCTCGAAGAACGAGAAGAACCGGTTGATAAAGTTACTCTTCGGGCAACCACTATCAAGCCAGAGGGCGACTAAGTAGAAATCACCCTTGAAAGTCTGAGACATGGACAGAAGAAAGACAATGACTAAAAGATTGTCCGAGGATGGCTTAAAAATAAAGTTACACCTACTTGACAAAAGATAGCCAAATACAGTATACCTATAAAAGGCTACTGGACTCAGTGGGATTCCCCGTATCTTCACGATGGCATATTGCACCGGAAGTGGGAGATCCCTGATGGAGTACATGTAGTTCGCCAAGTGATTCTGCCGAAATAACAGGTCAGAAATGTATTGGAGGCGCTTCATAGCAGCCGTTCAGGATGACACTTTGATACAAAAAGGACACTGGCACGAGTTCGGGAAAGATTTTATTGGGTCAATTGCCGACGGGGTGTAGCGGATTGGTGTAAAAAATGTGATGTATGATGGCAGGACAAAGGTCTATGGATTCGTTCGGGAACGACTAAAAGCCCACACCGATAAAGCAGAAGCTAGAATCGACAGGCGTGCCACAGATACACATTTTGAGAGGGGCGACAAGGTATGGTTGTGCAATCCCAAGCAGCGATGAGGACTTTGTCAGAAATCTAAACGGAACTGGGAAGGTCCTTACTTCGTCCTTGAGGAAAATCAATCAAATTCAGTTGTCAGCGAGAAGTAAACCCTAGATAGTTCACGTTGAAAAGTTAACGCCATATCGTGGTCCAGATTCTTCCCGTTGGCTTCAACCAGGTCCTAGTAATCAAGTTATTCGGGGCGAATAGCTAGAGAGGAGGGAGCAATGTTACGCAGCACCCTGTAGTAGCCTGCGGCTATTATAGAAAACATACGAATAGAAAAAGAAGTAGAATGCTACTCATCGCCCTACAGTGTGCTGCGTTCGTCATAAGTAACAGTGCAAGTAAAATAAGATAGAAATGTCCAGAAATGTCATTACCCGTCAAGAATATTCTAGACGACAGTTCGCGAAGCTATATAAGTTTTCAGTTTTATGATAGACATTACACGTTATTGTTATCAGTTGCATTGTTATTGTTAAAGTTCAGTTGAAATAAATTGTGATACCAAAAACCAGCGTAACAATACCTTTTTTTCCAAGAAAATTTTCATCAAATCAACGTTTTAACATGGCTTTTAAAGTGTTTTTAAAAAACCGGTGTAGAGCGATGGAGTCCCCATTTCCCGCAAAGAGGCCGCATATCTGAAGCAATTTTTGAGTTTCGGCGCCTATGTACATGAAGTATAGTTTGCAATAATTTCGCAAATAATCATTTAAATTTTGTTTATGAATAAACTAAAGGTTATGGAATGATAGAAACTTCATACATTAAATTTGTACTTACTTTTCTATAGACTAAAGAACATACTGCTATCCGAGCTCTCATGCAATTCCTCTGAGCATATAAAATCGAACCGTGGTTAAGGCTCATCATAATAAAGACCTGTAAAACAACTGCACTCGCCCACAACCATCCACTCGGTTCACTTTTCTCTTTGTTAAAATAATTGATATATCGTGCTAATGCCATGGGAAGTACCATCCTACACGGAAAAAAATCTGACTAGAAAATTTTACTACAATGTTGTAGTAGTAGACTTGTAGAAAAATACTTAACAATTTGTAGAAAATTTTACTACAATTTATAGTTAAAAACTATTCATTATTGTAGCAATTGAATTGTCGAATAAAATGCTACAACAATAGGAAAGAATTCCACAATATTTAGTATATTTTACTATTGTTTGTAGAAGTAGAAATTTATTACAATTATCGTAATTACTACTACTAACTTCTGAAAAAATTTGTACAAATATTAATAATTATCTTTAGAAAAAATAGTAATTTTCTCTACAAAAAATAGTAATTTTCTCTACAAAAAATAGTAATAATTTACATCCCTTCTTATGAAAAATATTCAATTTTGTTCAAAAATATTATATAATATTGTAGAAATTCTAAGTCATGTGAACAAAACAGAATTCTGCTATTGGCCAACGTTTTCTGACGTCGATCATAAATGGCCAGACAGCAGTAGCCGTTCGCCATGTTCACATAACAAAGCATGGTACATATACGAGTAACTATAACACATTATTATATTATAAGCACCGATGCGTTTGAGAAAATTTTAATAATAAATTCTGTTGGTGGTAAGTACATTTATTATTGTTTTTGAATAATTTACCTTTAGATAACTAATTTAAATAACCTTAGTAGATTATTTTAAAAAAAATTGTTTGTATTAATTGTGACATACCTACTTTCTCATTTTTGTTAGTTATCTGACTTAGTCATTTAATATCCAAATCAGTGTAAAGGTGATAAATATCCCCGTTTTAAGGGTATGAACAGTTCAATTGTTATTAATTTTTATTTCATATTTTTCAGGTGCAGAAAAGCCAACTGAGACTGAGGGTGCTATTATTACTGTTATTTATTACATAATGTAATTAAGACTTTGTATCTTTTATATTAAAACAATAAATTGAATATTTTATTAAGGAACATTTTTTTCTAGGTTATAATTATAATAATTATGGAATACTACTACAAGTTTTATTAAAAATTACTACAATTTGTATGAATTTTTACTATTTATTGTGTAAAATTTTCGTATTTATTTTCATAAATCGCAATACATTTTTAATGTAAATTCATACAATGAATAGTAAAAATTATAACAATTTGTAGAACAATTCTTATTATGCATTTGGATATTTTTACTAAATATTGTAGATAATAACTCTACAATACATTCTCCACAAATATTTGGAAATTTTTACTACAAATTGTCCCTGTCCCTATATGTACTATTTATTGTAGAGAAAAAAATCTATAATTGTAGAAATTTCTTCTACAATTTTTTTTCCGTGTATACAGAAATTATTGCATGTTTTACAAGTTAAAATAGATGCGCAATGGCGACATATCAGCACAAGAATAAATAATAACCAGAAGGATATCTCCGATTACGTGATCTTCGAGGGCTCTTGACCTTCAAGCACACCTACACCGATATTCTACGCCGAAACTTTTAGTGCAGTAGCGGTGGTATCATAATCGTGAATTTATAATTATTATTATTCTGTTGTTTCTGTTATTTTGCTTAAATATTTTTATCGTTGACTATTTGCTGATTTTGTTGTGCTTTAATGACAGTGTGAGTTATAGAAGAAGACAAAAAAAGCTGGATTTGTTTGTAGTTATAAAGACTGCAAAAATAAATCATATCGGTGCAAATTCATTTTACAGATTTCCTCAAGATGTTGAAAGGTAATATAAATAAAGTATAATATATAAGTCAAATACAGGGTATTTTAAATTAGCTGTTACTTCGAGATATTTTCTGTATCTTTAATCTGAGAGAGGGTGGGTTGCTCCATAGTACTTAGGGTATATCTTAATAATATTATATTATACAACGATCATGTATTAATAGCCATTACATAAGAGTTGCATACCCTATTTTTTCTACGACCAAGAACCAGTTCTTCAATCGAAAAAGAGATTAATTTAAAAAATTATAATGCTTTTAATCCTTCAAAACCTTAGCTAATCTAATTTGTTATAACTATTTGTTAAGACAACTAAATAATAAATCTTTTTTTATTTCCCAAAAGTGTTTTGGATTTTTTTCCGCTATAGCCTTTGGACTTTTTCTTTTCATATAATAGCAATTTTGGGTATTCTCTTACATATCAGTTGTTTTATATTCAGTTGTGTTTTTAAAATGGAGTACCGAGTATTGTAATTTTGTTGAGAGTTGTTCAAAGCAACACAATTTAACAAAAGGATGATACTTCCTTTGTTAGCTTCTAGTCTAAATGTTGACTATACATTTTATACATCAATTTCGAGTAGTGTACATGGAACATTATCGTTGATGAACATCTTTTTTCAAATTTAAAATACCTAGATATTTCAAAATTAAAGATCTAAACTGACACAGAACATAAATCTTCCATAAACTGTCAAAAACTATTTGGGGAAAATAACTGGATGCCGTTTAATTGCAAATAAAAACAAGGTTCAACTTGTCTGGGCATTTGGTCACTTCTAATTTATTTATGTCGGAGAAGTTTTCGGTCTATAGGCATCAGTTTCCCAAATCATTCCTCAATGAAACATGTATACAATTTTCATTTTTAGACAAAAATATGCTTAAAAATGAATTACAAGTACTGCATCAGAGAGACGAATTAAGTACCACCTCCGGAGCTGTCCCGTTGTCAATTTTATTAAATGAGGAAGGTTTAAATTGTACATTTCAGGAAATTCTTAAACTTTTAGTTATTTTAATAATACCTGTGACAACATCTAAAGCAGAGCGCTGTTTTACAATGGTTAAACGGATTAAAACATTCCTCAGAAATATAATGAAGGAAGAAAGACTTAGTGCTTTAGGTATGTTGTCCGCAGAAAAACATTTTGTAAATGGAATTGAAAATTTTGCAACCAAAAAAGAAAGAAGAATGGACTTCATTTGTCGGAAACTTTAAAACTAGTACATCAAGCAACTTTGTGCGCGTGTGTAAATACTGTAAATAGGTATAGTTTTATTTTTGTGATGTTTTTATGCTAATAACAAACTGCAAGGACTTTCAGCATTAATTACTTGGAGTGAGTTAATTTATAATTTGTAACGGTTGGAACCGTTTTCGTTATTTGACCCAGACATTATAACGGTCGGAACCGTTTTCGTTATTTTGAAACCAACATCTCTACACAAATGTCATTTGTCGTTTATTTGTTGTTTATTTGTCGACAAGCAAGTTGATTATTGAATTTTAATTATCTTTTATCTTGGACATCCGATGTACTAGTTGTCTTTAATATTTTTAATGACCGTCTGATTTTAAAAAGGTAAGTTTCCTACCGATATTTTGTTGAAAATATATATTTAGTACAAGAATTTCTAATTAAAATGCCAAATCTGAAACATAACCTCAACATTGAGTAGCACATGATAATTCATTTTATATAATTTTATCTATTATTTTGTTAGGAAAGAGATACTATGCTTTACTATTTTTAAATATGTTAAATAAGACTTTTTCTTTTCCTATTAAATTTGGTCTCTGTGAAACTATTCAAATAATAGTCTAATTTGTTCATTTAATAGTAAAAAGCATTATCTGTTTCCTATATACACTTCCTGATTCCTTTCTTTATATTTTTACCTTTTTCCTTGTATCCTTGCTGTATATGGATGGTTCAATAGAAGTTATATAGATGGTTCAATAGAAACTGTATATAGATGTTTCAATAGAAGTTATATCTAGATGAAATTTGCATGTTTAGAAATTTGGAAGAACGTACAAGCTGCCTGTTTAGAATATATCAAGAAGCTTAGTTCAACCACCGAAAGAAGTAAACGAGATTTAACTTTACCTATGAAAATTTAACAAGAAGGCCTCTACAGTCACTCCTTAAATGTTACCTCTGATTCAACAGATAAGTTAATAAATCATTTAAATTTGAATAATTAAGTCTCTGTGAATTAGAATTTGTCGCTACCTTATTTAATTCTAGTATCATTCTGGTTAGTGATTTTCTATATTTTCATCACTAATCGCTTGTCAAGTTTAGAAAGTTTAAATATAGTGGCGTCCAACATTCTTTTTCAAAGTTATACGAGTTGTTTAATAACCTGACCCACTCCCCAACATCATAGAGCTTAAAACACTATAAAAATAGTTAAAATAATAAGATCATATTACATATTATTATATTTAATCAAATTTAGAGTTCTTTGATAAGTTTTGAGTAATTTATTGGCAAAGTTTAGGAAAAGATTAACCCTGACGGCCTGTTTCTTGGCAAAACTTGTGTTAGAAACCCCATAAATAGTAGTCATATAATAGATATAAAAGTATCCGTCCTTCATTTATTTTTTTAATTAAAATTTTATATCTATTTTGACAATACCGTGATAAATTTTTGCCCAAAGCCAGTTTTTTGAACGACTTTTGGGTAAAAAATTTGGGCGTGGCACCCCAAAAAATATTTCGGCGGGGTTTTCACATTTGTTAAAAATCTGGCACTATCATCTCGTATTATCACGAGTCGCCAGAATCTGGTTATATTCAAATATTAACAAAGCTATCAATAAAGGTTTGTCGATATCTTTTTGCCTGCCTTATTAATTTATCGTCACATTCTGCAAACAATTGTTGCCTTTTTTTAACTCTGATATTTTCAATGACGCAGTGCGTGTTAGAGCTACAGCGTATAAATCCACATCCCCAACTAGCCATTCATAAAACTGTATTTGTTGTGAAGTTCTCATCATCATCTATTGTATAGTCCAGGAGACAGTGACGATTTTCGGTATTTATTTTCCCAGTCAGCAAGCACGAATAGAGAATTGTAGGATTAGCAATTCTAAGCAAAATTCATATATATTTAGAGGGGGGATCCGATGGGCTGATGCCGAAAATGCGTCAAAACATACGAGAACACGGCCCTTTTTTCCATTGATAAAAATAGTTTTAGTAGTAAGAGATGTACCTACTGAAGTTAAGTAAAAAAATAGTCTGAT